AAAGATTAGTTGTCAACGGCAGACAATATTTTTGATTGCTTTTGTGTTCTTCTGAAGTTGTGCTTGTGTTTGCGCAGACAGTTGGAGACAGTCGGTCATTCCCTTGTGCCCACATGATCCAAAGTGCAAAATGATCGGCAAGCGTTGCTTTAATAGTAGCAGACACCCGGTTCGTGACAGTCCCACGCAAACAGCATCCCTGGTATGAAGTCGGGGAATATCCAAATCACTCGCGTTTAATCCACAACGATCAATCATCGCGCAGGCTAGCGTTGTACCAAGTATCTGCATTAGCAAAGGCTCCTCCAAGTGCATGCATAATTTTTTTTCCCACAATACACTCTTTTTATGTATACATACATGTACATGTATGTATAAATGTTTGGATGGTTGTGGTTTTTAAATTACATGTACATGTAGTCCCTTGTTTTTTGGGGGTTTTTTTTTGGGGGGGGGGACGGAGGAGGGGGGGTAAGGGAGGGGATCGAGTCTGATGAGTTCCTGTCAGAATATGGTTATCTGTTCGAGATTGAGTCACAGTTTGTACAATTGTGCGGCATGTACGGTACATGTACTACAACATGTCAATGAATAGCATACCGTACATTGTACATACATGTACGTGTATTAAAACACATTGAATTTAGACAGAAATTTGTAACATATTGAACACAGTAGAACGGGGGGGGGGGGGGGGGGGGGGGGGGGGGGGGGGGGGGGAGGGGGGGGGGGGAATGTATAGTGTACAGTAGTTCAGATTTCATTTCAATCTTGTCATATCTAGCGGGCATAGGCGGGTGGGTGAGCGCAATGTTCTTCTTGTCCGCACATAGCTGTCATGTTCTTGCATTGCTAGGCCAGCATTGTGTCTGTTATACTTTTCCTTTTGTGCACGCCCCACTATTCATTAAGTCATGCCGGCCGCTGTCATGTGGGGTAATTTTACATCATGAAAATCAAGTTTAGTGTAATTTAGAAAGGGAGTCCCTCCCCCCCCCCCCTGTTTTTTAATTAATTTAACCAGCCTTTGGGCAGTCAACTTCTGTCCAAGGTTTTCTTGGCTGAAGGCGTGTTGTGTTTTCCGCTCAGAGAGGTGTGTGTGAAATTTGTAGCTGCAAGGATTTATATTCAAACACATAGTTGAGTCATCGCGTGGTACCTGCGCTCGGGTGTGTGTCTGTGGTTGGGATATTGGAGTTCACAAGCCAACTCCTGACCTGGCCACATTGGTGATGATTCTCTATGTAAATCAAATGACATTACACGTGTGATTTTCATTGCCTTTATTTGGAAGCAGTGGAATAGAGATTGATGGAAAGCTTTATCCAAAAGTAAGGATTTACCCGTACTTTCTATTTCAAATTGTCTTTACATTGTAGACCTTAGGACAACATGATCATACATATTTTACATTTGTACTCACTGTATACTCCTAGAACTATGAGGCTCCACGTAGTGGAGCCTCATAGATTAAGAACCCCGCAAAATTGTTTTCAGCACAAAACACTAATTACAAATGTAAGTACAAAACCGTCCATCAAAATGCAGACATTTCCCACAGAACCGCCCCCAGTTTGCCCCCAAACTCCGTACTACATCTCATTAAATACTCACGTAATATGCGCAGAACAAACATCGCTGGATTTTTTCGGTTTTTGGCTAAAATGATGAAAAATATGCCCTTTCCGCACTGAGCCAACCTGACACTTGAAACGTGCACGCATATGATCCAGCGATGATTTTTCGGTTCGCTCGAAGCGCGCCGCGGGGGGGACGGTACAAGCGAAATGATAGTATGCGCATGCGTACAAGTGCAAGTACCGTACCCCCCGCTGCGCGCTAGCTCCGAGCCTCATAGTTCTAGGAGTACTCACTGTACAGGTTTTGAAATTCGCTGCTCAAGTTTTACACACGCCAGCGGCAACTGTGTGCCGTGCTAAAAGTTGAATGCAAAGTGCGTCTATTAGAATTTGCGTACGGCAATCGATATTATGGGCCACTGATCGACAAGTTCGTGCTCCTGTTGTAGTATCAAGATTATCATGTGTATATTTTAAACAGTATACTTAACTTGCTGAAGTATTTTTAAAGAAGTGGCATCTGACAATATAGTGCTGCAATTTGACAATTAATATAACATCACAGTCGTGTTGTTTCTGGGTATTTTTTTTTCTTCGAATATTTGAACTGGAAAAAAGCTATATGAATATTTGGTTGATGATCGACTCGGAATATGCAAATATTCAGAATATTCTGGACAGCCCTAATGTACCGTACATGTACACGTTATGTACCGGTATGTATATTGTCATTATTTTTTGGAATTAGTCTTTGGGAGATCCTTAACCCTCCTGCTTTTTAAACAGTCACAGACAGTCAAAATTCACTTCCACTTCCCCTGCTAAACTTTTAACAAAGGCTAGTCACCAGCAGTCAGATCATATGTCAAGCAAGCACTGTGACTAGTCAAACTGGGTCAACAGACAAAGCAGGCAAGTTGTGGTCACAGCTGTTTTATTACTCGCCCGGAGTCAAAGCATAGCTGTATCAAGTTATTTAAACAGTCCCCGCCAGTCGATCCTGCTTTATGTGGGCTGGGAATTCTGAACTGTTGAAAACAGTCACTTGTTTTTGATTTTGACCGAAAGGACTACTTGGCACATAATGTATGTTTGCATAGGAGGGATAATTTATAGAATGAACTGTACATGTTCAGTGTACTTGTACATGTACATGCAGTTGTAGTTTTTTTTAAATTGTACCAATGTGTAAAAAGAGACTCACTTAACAAAAATGCCATGTGTACCATACATGTAGATATTCTGTCAATATCTACTTACTATAGAAATACATGTACATGTACATACATGTAGTACATGTACATGTACATATTTGTGCTTGCAAATAACTTTACTCTGATTTGAGCACACATCTGCAAGTGTTGTCAAAATTCCCTGCATATTTTCCCTGAAGCAAAGACTAGAACACTCCCAGTTGCACTTTCATGACATGTGCTTTAATATGAAATGTTTTAATATCCAAAACAAATTTTAAAAATGGGAACTGATTGTCAGCTGCTTAGTGGCCGAAATTTATGTGACGGAATATTAATTCTGATTGTGAATCAAAACAGACATTTCAGCGGTGTCCTCTCCAGGCAATTTATGAGGGGCTAGTGAGCGCTCTGATTTACTGCTATTGGTGTCGTTGTAAATTGAACATAATTGTGGGCAACCAGACTCATTACTACCTCAGAGGTTCAAGGGAGAGTTCACTTGTCCCTGGGGCAGATGTTAAAACCATCACCAGTTGTGCATGCTTTTCTCAAATGTTCAGGAAGTGATTCAATTGCCAAAGATCGCCAAGAGCTTTGGTCCAGACTTGAGTCCAGATTTTCATGTCTGTTTTTACAAAATGTAGGTTTTGTTTGTCAGACTTGTTCGTTTCAACAGACAAATTATGTCAATGAAAAGTGACTGTGGTCAGATTCCGATGTGGTTTATGCATGTAACTGTATTGCTTATAAATGCATCGCTACATATAAGGCGTGAGCCCTTTTGCCACATGACACAAATGTGTTTACGACTTTTTAGTTTGCAACCCTTTTTAGGCCAAAAAAAAAAATAGTCGGTCTCTGGTCAGACCGAAGTTCCGGAATTGATGCGGCGACGCGTTTTTTTTTTTTTTTTTTTTTTGTGGCTTTTTTTTTTTTCAAGCTTGTTATTGTACAGACAAGGTGGGTACTATTTTACTTGTTTGTGTCCTCATTTGCTTTGGTGCAATTTCCCCATTCCTTGGTGCTCCTTGGTACAAAAATTTGAGGAGGCGCAGCAATAGAGGGCGCTGTTGTAGCTTCCGTGTTAATTTGAAAAAAAAAAAAGGTTGACGCGCATGATTAAAATCGTCGCGCGCGCTGACCAGAGACCGAGTATTTTTTTTTGGCCTTAGCAAAGAGATTTTGTCGGCATTAGGCCTACATATCAGAAATTTGAGCAAAAGTACCTTATAACCATAGACTTTCTAACAGTGATCTGTATTTATTTTAATTAAAGAGATTTTAATAAAAGATGTACAAACTGTACATGTACCCTGGTACCGGTACATGAATGTACATTATAAATGTGTGTTGTGGAGTAACAAACCTTTCGTAAAATTGATGTGATCCTCACAGAGTGTTCATATGTAGTCCTTGGAGTTCATACTTGGAACATAAGTCATAATACCTGTAACTTTGGGCATGATCCCTGGCTGTATGGCATACTGGTTTATGGCTTCTGACTAGCACCCCTTAAACACAGACATTGACCAATTGGGTAACCCCTAACACAGGGCTGGATGGCTCAGTTGGTAAGAGCACCAGAATGGTTATCCGGAGGTCGCAGGTTCAAGCCCCGCTCCAGCCATTTTCTTTGTTCAACTTTTCAATTGTTATAATTCACCTAGTCAGTTTCCCTGTGTGGTTCACTTGAAAATTTGTAATAAAAAGCTGTATCCTCTCCGAGTGATCCCCGTTTGCTATTTCCCAGGTCTGTATCGTTATTTTGGGCGTGATCCCTGGCTGTATGGTATACTGGTTTATGGCTTCTGACTCAGCGCCCCTTGAACAAAGATATTGACTAATTGGGGAACTGCCAATAGAGGGCTGGATAGCTCAGTTGGTAGTGCACCGGAACGGTTATCTGGAGGTCGCAGGTTCAAGCCCCGCTCCAGTCAATTTCTTTGTTCAACTTTTCAGTAATTTAGTTCATGTGTAATAGATGATGTGTCATACAAAAACATCAAATTCAGATGCTGACAAGGCATCCTTTGTTTTTGCTTAACTACATGTACCAGTAGAACATTCCTTGAAACATCTTCATTGCATAAATTATCATGATCTTAACAGTAATGTACTGTAAGTCCGGTTGTCCTTCAGTAGTTTTATGCCAGCATCCCTTGGATGTAGCATGGACTCAGTCTCAATATAACTTCCTGCGTTTTCTGTCATCTTTGTTATCCAGGGATACAACCCTCTGCCAAAGTCACCTTGAAGTCTCCGGACTCCCTGGACCTGATTAAGGAAGGAAGCCGGGTCACTCTCAACTGCAAAGTGGACGGCAACCCTCCGCCGGACATAGTCTGGTACCGGGACAAAGTTCGGCTTGAAGCTGATGAGAACATTGAGCTGACGCGTAGCAGGCTGCGGCTCCGCAGTGCCAGCACAGAGGACAGCGGCGTCTACTCTTGTATTGGGCAGAACCGGGCTGGGCAAGCCTGGAGCTCAGGCGGAAACCTTACCCTGACCATTCTGGGTAAGCAACCATTCCGTTATCTCAACTTCTGTAAAATAACCAGTACCCACACATTTTTTTTTTTTTAGTATTTTAAATGATTTAGGATTTTACAGTACAGGTCAATTGAACTCTGTGCAAAAGAGTGTTGCCATTCCGGTGTTTGGGACATGTATGCTAACTTGTGCATAATTGTCGCATGTACTTTTTTATGTGACTATTCATTTGTCTTCGCATGGGCAGCTATGACATTGAGGTGTCTTTCATATCCTCTCTTTGACATCTTTGATATCTGTTTCTTGAAGGGATAAAACCCTTACAGCTAGCAAAGCCTTGGAAGTTAGGGTTTCTAGTCATGTGTCCAAAAAATAATATGTAGAGACTATGCATTGCAAGTCGCAAAACCAGATTTTTTTTCTGTTTATGTTTAGTCACTCTAGTGCACTTGTGACAGCCATACCATTCACAATCACACCTGCCAACTATTAATTGTGTGAAAGATGGATGGAATGGCAACCAGTGAGCAGTGAATCAGTCATTTAATCCCTTGCGAGGTGGGCAGGTGTGCAAATTAAAGCAGCAATCTGAACGCCATTTGTTGTTTTTGCATAGAAATTTTGAAATAATGCAAGTCTCTATTTTAGAGCCAGGGCATAAATCAAAAGGATTAGCAAGTTTGAATTCCTTTACAGTGCACCAGTGTTCAACCTTAACTCTAAACACCTAGTCCCTTTTTGCTAGGAACCATCCTCAATCCTCCAGAATTTTGCTCAAGTGATCAAATGAAGGAAACCCACTGCCTCAATCCTTGAAAATCCTCCGACAGCCCTGCCTCTCAAAATGCATTCATCCTCTATTTTCCGAAATCCCCCTCTTCTTCAAACACCCTTCATCCTCAATCCTCCAAAATCAACTGGTACTGAATGTGCATTCATCCTCAATCCTTCCACAGTCCTCCAAAATTGTATGTTACATTCATCCTCAATCCTCCAAAATCCTCCAAAATCCTCCGAAACTGCCCAGAGGACTTGGAGGAGTGAGGAGGGTTAGGGTTTGATTAAAGGCGAAACCATTGTCAAACGGTAAACAAAAAGTGTATATTGGAAACCTTTGGAAACGTTGTTACTCAAATGCCCAAAATTACGTTAAAACTGCTGCAAGTGGAAAATAAGTACATTTGGCAATGTTTCCACGATGCACTTTGGATAAAGTAGGTTAAGCATTTTCAACTGCAGCTTTCCACATCACGATTGCTCATGTTGGCTGCCAGGCTTGCATCTCTGTCGACCAACAGATTTTTGTGATTTATTCTCACATGTCACTTGTAACTCTTCTGTCTTCACAGATGCCGACTTTCCCATCAACCAAGAGTCACCAGAGGATGTGCTAGCAGTTGTCGGGACGTCGGCACAGTTCCGGTGCTCCTTTTCTGGCAACCCAAACCCAGACATAGAATGGTATTTCCGTCGGTCGAACGAGGGGAACAACGTGGTGCATCTGGCAAATGGGACGAGGTAAAAGGGTTTTCTGTGCTGCCACACGAATGGCCAGCAGATGTTGAAAAGTTTACCCCTAACTCCCTACGGCGTGTGAAAAATCATTGGAGCGTTCAGGACTATATGCAAACACAACTTGACACATTGTGAACATTTTTACAGGTCCATAGATAGACAGTTTATTTGTACACATGTTTTCTGTTGTACTTTACTGAAGGTTATCCATGCAAATTTACAAGAACTTTCAAGGTGTAGTCAGCCCCGTCGCAAGCCCTGAGCATCTGGGGGACCATATTACCAACTAGGGGGGCCCAAAAATACATATGTATGGCTTTTGCCGTTTGGGGGGGGGGGGGGGAGGGGTGGCAATTGCTCGCCAAGGGGGCCCTGCCCCTCCAGGGCCCCCCCTCCCTTGGCGACGTGCCTGGGTGTAGTGAAATTTAAAGACAAAGTGCAGGTTTTAATGCTGAATACCCACCGTTTTTTTGTTTCAAAAGTCATTGAGTTTAACATTTTGCACTGAATGATTATAAAGTTCACCAATCCCCCAAGAAATAGTTTTGTCTGAGATACTGCAACATCTAGAATGAAACATTTAAGCCCCCTCCCCCCCCAAAAAAAGTCTATTTGCTGGGTTCCCATGAGTTGCTTGAAAAACTATCGTGCTATAGTTTTTGATTCAAGTGGGTGAAGCGACTGGTAATCGACGCTCGCGGTATGTAAGCCAAACAAGCATCCCTGGTACCCTGCTACATGTTCCATACTGTACAGGTCATTCTGTCTGTAAATAGGGAAGAAGTTGAAAAGAAACATGCTGGCGCGTAGTTCCGGCAAGTCACAAGATCTTGCTTTTGGGGGGGGGGGGGGCTTTTTCTTTGCTTTTTCTATGAAAGTTGAATTTCGATTTTCAATTATTCACCTTGACCCACCCGCCCACAATTTCGAGAAAAAAAATCGGAATTTAAACACATTGAAAATGTTGAATGGCCCCTCAGGGCTAAGTATGTGGTTTTGCCCTTCACTGAAACGCAGATTTTTAAGCACTTTATACTTAGTGCTGTCCAAGAGCTAGTTAGGAAACTTCATAATTGCTTGAAACCCAAGATCTCCTGCTTTTTGAGTGCAGATGGCTTAACCATTTAACATTCAGAAAATTGAAGACTGCAACAAAGCATTTTAACAAAAACCACAAGAAGAAATTGTCAAACCGAAATTTCAAACGTTTGAACAGATCAACTCTGAGGAATGGCTCTACAGTAAAAACGTTATACATGTATGTATTCCAATTCTTTGTAGATTCAAAACCAACAATTTTGCATCGGTTAGCAGTGACACCTTTTTTTATTGATTGGTTTATTGGTTTTAATCATTGTTTACAATTTCGTCCTTTTTCCATTACTGTTCCAACAGCACCAGGATCTTTCCAGATGGCACTCTCCACATCGGCGACATCATGCTGACTGATGAAGGCACTTACATCTGCATTGGGAGGAATGAAGTCGGAGAGGCTGACGTCGAGGCCCAGCTTGTCGTAGCAAGTAAGAATCCCGTGATCATATTTGAGTTGGTCAACTGGGTCCCCTTACCACCTCTACCCGTAGCTCAGGTCTGCCTTGTTGTCCCTTGGATAGCCCTACAATCCTGGCCAAATCTCGCTGGGCCTCCAACCCCCCGGCCCCCGTTCAATGTTGTCTCTCATTGCGCGGTGTGTGCTCCATCAGCTGGAGAGAACAACATTGAGCGGGGGAGCGGGGGAGTGGGTGACCGTGGCAGGCTCAGGAAGTGTCCCAACCATTTTGGCCGGGATTGTAGCTCACTGTGTGGTTTTCCTCAGGAAGCTTCTCAAATCCTTCAGAATGCTTGATTCTGCTGGAACCCTGTGACACATACCAGAGATTATAGGGTCCATGAAATTCATTTTTCTGAGGAACGCATTTTGTGCAACTTTCTACTCCTCTTAACCAGTTCGCGCCGGATGATGTGTATACCTGCAAAAAGAGTATCCCTGCAAAGTTTTGCGGTATTCGGAACGGATGACGGATAAACACGCAGGGAGCGAGACCAGAAATATCTGTCAGCGACTCGCTCACAGCGAGCGAGGCTGAAAATATGAGTGTGCTGCCCGAGGGTGATGGCTTCAACCTGCCTGCATGAGGTCGAGTGAAAAGAAATCCTGCTCCTCGTTCCGCTCTGGTCAAAATAATCCTGGCGCGAACTGGTTAAATGTATGAAAACTATTTTACACTTTTTTTGGTTAATTTTATTAACCAAAAAGAAGTGCACTTCTTTCAACATTAAAAAGTTTCCCATGCTTTTCCGGACAACTTAGGGCGCTGTTGCTGTGATGTCATTTCAGGAAGACACTGTTCAGTTTAGGTGTTCTCTGTCCATATTGTGAACCCAAAAATTTGTTCGTTGAAAACATTTGTGAGAGAAGTTTGTTCATTGGTTTTACTGCCATGTACTGACAAAACAATGAACCACCAAAGAAAAGAAAATTTACAACAGCAAAATATCCACACTCTGGCAACTTTGAAATGACATCACACATTTGCTTACGAATATGGAAATTTGCAAATAATATGAAAACCAAGAAGGCAACCAAAATACCCTTGAAAATGGAAAAGAACAAAATTTAAAATTAACTTAAAGGGAATATACATCATTTGCTTTTGCTGTAATTTTCAGAAATGGATGGAATTGGGGGGTTGGAAATATAAAGCAAATATAGTTACACTGACTTTTTGGAGGTTTTGGGTTCGAAAATGCTATAAAAACCAAGAAAAACGATCATTTTCCTGTAGTCTGGTTCCCTGACTCCATATAAGAAGAAACAGAGCAGTTTACATACATTGGGGAATTGTTAGGTCAGGGAACCAGTCTAGCTGGCTCGTACCCGTTCATAGGTTTGTAATCGATTGCAAACAAGTGCAATGGTCAATTGGGGCCAGTATTTGAAAAAAAGCCAGTTATTTCCAACGCTGATCGGCCGATCAGCGTTGGAAATTGATACAAAAATACCACTTTTCTTGAAAATGACAGTATACCAGGTGCCATAATTTTACAGGATGCTTTAGACTGTCATTTACCAACATCCTATTAAGGTATTTCGCAAAAACTTGGTAGTTTTATTTTTCGATGTGTGCAAATGTTGTATATTCCCTTTAAATGGGACACAAAGGTGCAACCCTAAACTTCCCAAATCCTCCAAAATTCTTTTTGCAAAATGGAGGAGTTTGCAGGATTGAGGCTATATGGCTAGTGTGTTGCTGAGTTGGGAGGATGCACTGTGTCAAGTCGAAGGTCGGACCTTGTGTTGTTTATGCTCAACCGTGCATAAATTTAGGCCTACCCCCAGTATATTATACTTGAAATCATCAGAACTGCTCCAGGATGTCACTGGCTCTGCCTCAACATATTGACAGTGATTGCTGGAGGATTTTGCAGGATTGAGGCAGTGGTCACGTGCTGCTTTATGGGATTGTGCACTCTCAGAAGGAAATTATTTCTTTTACATCATGCCTGGGTACCAGTGTGCACACACAGCTCCCATGAGTGGTCTTGAAGCATGAGTTGGCCCTGCGTGATGCACTCAAGTAGAAGACCAATGTTTCTGTTTATCATACTTCTCTCAACTCCTTCCCCAATGCAGAAGTGGAAGATCTTCCCAACCTTGGCACTCGGATGGTCCCCGACGGTGAACCTCTATCAGTCAACTGCACCTACCCCTACGGCGAGACGGGGGGCATGCCCACACCCCAGATCAGCTGGCTGGACCAGTCCAAAGCCCCCATCAGTGTTAACCCAGATGACAGGGTCCACACCGTAGGGGGGACATTACTAGTCTTCAACCGTCTGGTGGAAGCTGACAATGGCAACTACACATGCAAGGCAGTCAACTCCGCTGGAGAGAAGACTACTCAACTTGGTGTCGTTGTTGCAAGTGAGTATTAGTTTGGAAAAGGGGATACTAAATTCTTTCTGACTATGTTCATTTTTGTTGCCATCCCTTTTCGCAACCAATTCAGCCATTCATGTTGAAAGAGCATTTTTGCTGTTCGGCAACATCTACAAAGGAAGACTGATTTTTCCCATATTGCATCAAAACAAGCTTGATCAGAAAAATCTGGGAAGCTGCAGGCCAACGAATTGGTGTTCATGCATGAGTCACGTGATTGTGTCATGCAATTTCTGGAAGGAGTAGTGTTTTGAGTCAAAAAAAATTTTCAGTTTTTTGACCCCAGTGACCCCATGATGACCTTTGACCCCAGTTTGGTCATGTGACATGTTGGGGCTGGGCTACTGATACTTCTGACAAAGTTTGGTTGAAATCGGTCAAAATATGTAGGAGCTAAAGACAATGTCAACATTTGTTACTAACTAGAGAGACGTGATGATTGTTGAGCTGTTATCCCGCAACTAAAAATGGTTTCTCCGGTATGACCACTTTGTGGGGCACTGCCTCCTCTTCTGCTTCTCCTTTGTACTGCAACAATCTCTTCGCAGGGGTATTTGAATTTGCAGACACCCCAATTCGCCATTCACACTTCTCACACATGCTTTGCGATTCTTTTTTCCAGCATAATTCTTGCTGGAAGAATTCATAACATTAGTGCAGTGTAGCTCAATTGAAATACATTCATTTCCACAGCTGTCCCTGAATTCACCGTGCGGCCTCAGGACACGGCGGAGAAGGAGATGACGGATGCTTGGCTGCACTGTCAGGCAGACGGGAACCCCAAACCGCAGATACGATGGTTGAAGAAGGATAATTCCGAGTTGCAGGTAAGCAAGACGATGACGCCACTTGAAAAAAAATGGACAATTGCAAAAAGGACGATTTTGCAGGATTGAGGCTATGTGGCAAAAACGTGTGGCTGATTTTGGAGGATGCACTGTTTCAAGTTCGTTGGCCGGACCTTGTGTTGTTTATGCTCAGCCATGCATACATTTAGCCCTAGTAATCCTGAAATCCTAGTAACCCTGGAATCCTCTGCACTGCTCGAGGATGTCACTGCCTCTGCCTCACCATATATTGACAGTGATTGCTGGAGGATTTTGCAGGATTGAGGCAGTGGTCACCCCTCCAAGGACCACATTCAAGAAATAACACAGGAATTTGCAGGATTGAGGCTGTTTGCAATTTTTTACATGGAGGCAGTTGGAGGATTTTGCAGAACTGAGACAAAATGTATGTTTAACAACAGTAATGACCATTGTTGATTTGCTAACGGCAAGGTTTTCTTTTCTATTTTAGGACAGTAGATTTGTTACGTTGGACAACGGAACACTACACATCCGAAACCTTATGATGAGTGATGAGGGTGTTTTGTTGTGTCAGATTGCGACAATTGCAGGCAGTGATGTTGCTAAGGCCACACTATCTGTCATACGTACGTATCATTGTAAAAGACTTGACAATAGAATAGTAAAATCTAAGTATCAATGTCTGATTTCATCAGTTGGCCATATTTGGAGCGTATGCGGGCGCTCTTACGATGCCATTGTAATGCATTTACAGGCGTGAATTTACATGTAATGTTGCTGAGAGTCAAAATTATATTTATCAATTTATCATTATATTTTATAAATTTTTTATTTTTTTTTTCTATAAAGGTGCCAAACTGCTTCAGTAATTGAGATTCAGTAACTGTTTGTACCCCAAAAATGGCTTAGTCATTAAATACATTCTTTTAAACAATTGTTGACTGATGTTATTTGGGATATGACGTTTTTAACACCCGAGGGGCGCATAGCACCCGAGGGGTGCATAGCACCCGAGGCAAAGCCGAGGGTGCTATGCACCCTGAGGGGGTTAAAAACGGGGGTTAAACGGAGTAAAACTGGTTTGATACAGAATTTTAGTCCTGATTGTATCCCTTTTTTTCTCCTACCTTCTCCCCCTTCCCTCCATCCCTCAGCGGTCCTGAAGTTCTCCCCGCCACCAAACAGCAAGCCCCTGGAGCGGAATGAGGACTCCAAGATGGTCTGCCGGGCCACGGCCCGCACCCCGCCCATCATCCGCTGGTTCAAGTTGCCTGACCGGCTGGCCAGATGGGACGACCACATCAACGAGACAGACGGCAAGCTCAGCTTCCACCCGGCTAAGAAGAGCGACGCTGGCCGGTACATGTGCGTAGCCACGGCTGGCAATGAAGTCATCAATATCACGGTCACAATTGACGTCTTCGGTATGTCATTCTTGTCAGACAAACTTCCATTGCCCTTGGTATTTACATTTGCAGTTAAAGGTATAGTCCATCATTTGTAATTTCTGCATTTTGTTCGTTTGAAGCAACAAACATGCTCAAAAACCAAAGAAGGGTGCTGAACAACTAACCTGATGAAGTTTCAGCTCAGCTTCAGCTGTATATTTTGAGAAAAGCAGCATTCTAGGATCTCGATTTCAAATCAAAAGTTGCTGAATCATGTTTTGAATTGGGCCTGAATTCAGCGTCGGAGAGACGTTCTCACTAGCCGATTGCAACGAATGGTAGCAACCGTGTGTGCGTCGTGTCAACGCTTGCGCGCGCTTTGCCGAATAACAAAACGAACTACTAATTGAAATTTCCAACGGTGCTTCTTAAGAATCACCGTTGGAAAGGCCATATTTCGTTGATTTCTTCAAAATGACAGCTTGCCAGAAAGAATTATTTCACAGGGAGTTTAGTCCCCTCACTATCTTTCAACCAAATACGTTTTTTAACAATAATTACGCCAGTTACTTTTTGGATAGCTGCAAATGATGGACTCTGGCTTTAAAACATCCCTCTGTCCAAGAATTACATCATAAAGTCACTGGTTATGGACCTCGTGCACAAGTACCCCCTCAACCTTACTAAAGGGAGAGTTTGGGAAGACCACTCAGAGGGACATTCCAACTCTTTGCTGATGGCAACTGACTTAAAGGGAATATACATCATTTGCTTTTGGTGTAATTTTCAGAAATGGATGGAATTGGGGGGTTGGAAATATATAGCAAATATAGTTACACTGACTTTTTTGAGGTTATGGATTCGAAAATGCTATAAAAACCAAGAAAAACAATCATTTTCCTGTAGTCTGGTTCCCTGACTCCATATAAGAAGAAACACAGCAGTTTACATACATTGGGGAATTGTAAGGTCAGGGAACCAGTCTAGCTGGCTTGTACCCGTTCATAGGTGTGTAATCGATTGCAAACAAGTGCGATGGTCAATTGGGGCCAGTATTTGAAAAAAAGCCAGTTTTTTCCAACGCTGGTCGGCCGACCAGCGTTGGAAATTGATACAAAAATACCACTTTTCTTGAAAATGACAGTATACCAGGTGCCATGATTTTACAGGATGCTTTACACTGTCATTCACTAACAGTCCGGCAAGGTATTTCAAAATGATTTGGTAGTTTTATTTTTTGATGTTTGCAAATGTTGTATTTTCCCTTTAAAGCTCACACAACGCTATGGGATTATGCACATTCAGAATAACATAATGCCCTTGTACTAAAAATGGCAAAATGAAATTTGAAAATTAGGTTAAATGGGACATTAAGGTGCATTTTCAAGGATTGCGTTACAAAAATTACATTGCATGGTTCTTCAAAAGAAATTCATTTAACCATGAACGAAGCAGTTTACTGCACTCGTCGCCTTTACATACAGACAGTGTGATACACTGCATCACACATTCCTGTATGCACGCACATTACTCTGGACAATCCAGTTGCTCTCCTCACGTTTTTCAGTGTCTCAAACCAAAATGTTGTTAGCATCGGTCACATGGTCAATGTTCTTCCTGTACTGCAGCTATTCCAGTTACCAATTGCAACATAGGAATGTATTTTGAATGCAAATGGATGTTTTGAAAACATGTCCTATGATGCAAAACAATTCCAACACTAGTGAGTGAACATAAAAGTGACTGCCCTTTTCTTAGAAGATTGAAGATTTTTCTTCATTGTATTTAATTTTTTTGTTATCTACTCGGCAGAACGTCCCAAATTCACCATCCTTCCCAAGAACATGACGGGCTATGAGGGCTACTCTCTGATCATGGACTGCCAGGCTAAGGGCGACCCGCTCCCACGCATTACCTGGTTGGGTATCGCCCCGGCCAAGGTAGAAGCCCCTCACATGATCAAGCTGGATAACGACTCACTCCTAATTGATGAGATCAAGGCCTCGGACGCAGGCAACTACCAGTGCATCGCTGGCAGCGACGCGGGGCTGAGCAACCAGGAGATCACGCTGACTGTCAAAAGTAGGTCCACTTCTAAAGAGCTGGTTCACATTCACACTCGGCGTACAAGGGAATGAGAGTTTGTGACAAGTACCGGTAGTAACACAGCAAATTGGCAAATGTTGAATACACAACACCAGCGAATTCTGCAGCAAATATTTCACCATTGTCACTTTTTCTTCACCTTGAGATTCACATGAAGTATGAATAGACATTAAAGCCCCGTAAATCAAACTTTGTTTTAATATTAACACCTGGCCCAATTTTATGGTGTTGCTAACTACAGAATTTTGCACTTATGATCACCATTCTTTGCTTACAGCATTACCATAGAAATTCAACACTAACTATGTAAGCAGACATCCACTGTATGCATGGAATAATTTGCAACTCCAAGATCTTAGGACTTGTACAATTATAATTTTTGGTGGACTGGGCTTTCCTGTTCAGAATTTATCATTGCATTTTTGATACTGTTTGTTTACTTTCAGAGGGAACCCCACCAGGTTCCACCCCATTCACCCCTCAGCTGATGCACCGCACCATCGCCATCGCGGTGGGCTGCGCCCTGGCCTATATCATCCTAGTCGTGGGGCTGATGTGGTGGTGTCGGCAGCGACGACGCAAGCAGCGACGCCTGATGAAGGAAGAAGCAGCAGCTGCAGAAGCCGCTGCGGCCCTAGGCCCCGGGGCAGCGGGCGCCGACGGGGAAGTGGCTAAGCTGAACGGCAGCTTGCCCCACCCGCAGGCTAAGACCTACCACGACGAGGAGCAGAAGGCAGCGGCGGGCATGAGCAACGGTGACATGGCCATGAGTCCGCTGACGAAAGGTGCAGCGGGAAGGAGAGGCAGTTATGACAAGCTGCAGTTCCCGCGCCACGACCTGCAGACACTTGTTGTCATTGGTAAGTCTGAAGATCCACACCAGTGGTGCATTCCAGTTATGCGAACGGGAACGTTGGCACAGCCCTAAACTATTTTCAAAATGGCGGCTCCCTGAATGCCAGTCCTATCATACTGTTCTTAGGGAAAGTTGCTGTAGTTCCCAGAATTTCCAAACTGATGCAAATTTTATGAATCTTTAGGTAGAAATGCTTTTTAAAATTATGTGATTTTTATTTCGGAAAATGTATCTGTTTTGTGGCTTGTGTAAACCTTCAACTTCACAGAAGGTTGGATAAAGACAATATGCAGTTACATAACTACATATAGTTCAAGCAGCTTCTGGCTACTACTATGGTTTCTTAAGTGCTGAGAAATCTTAAAACTCATCCTTGGTTAGTGAAGATACAAGAATGATTCCATCTCAAAAATGCATTGACTCATATTCATTGGACAGTGTTCATATTCACCTCTATGTCAAGTTTAAAAAAATGAACGGTCAAGCCGTTTGTCATTTGAGTTTTTTACAACTTTTGTTGATGGCCATTCTCTGACTTCAGCCCCTATTAAGTTTGAATTAACATAAAAGTAAAGAGCACAAGTTTCTATCTTGAAAATGTCACCTTGTGTCAGAAAGATTGTAGCTGCCCCCCCCCCCCCCCATTTTCCAGCTTGGATGTTGTTTTTGTCTTAGTCATCACCGCCCTCTCATCGTAACAAATTTATAGTTGGTAAAGCAGTCACTCTATATTAAGGTTTTTCTTCTTTTTTTAACTCACCAGGCCATGGCTCGTATGGGGAGGTGTTCCTGGCCCGGGCGGTGGGCATCACGGAAGGCGTGGAGGCCACCACAGTCATGGTCAAGGCCTTGCAGAGCAAGAACGAGAGCCAACAGATGGACTTCCGACGAGAGATGGACATGTTGAGCAAACTGTGCCACGAGAACGTGGTCAAGCTGCTGGGCATGTGCAGGGAGGCTGAGCCACAACTCATGATCTCTGAGTATCTGGAGTGGGTAAGTGGCAGACTTGTTTTGCAGTCCTCAGGCCTCAAGGCTAAGTCCCAATCCGAGTACAGTACATTGCAATTGAAAGTTAACCTGGGAATGGGAATTTGTCTTCGCACTTTGTCTCTTCCCAGAGAATTCATTTTCATTTCACAAAGTGTGAAATTTTTTCCCACATTGGGAAATTTTTTTTCCCCACATTGGGAAAACATTTTCACGCCTTTTCACACAATTAGGATAACATTTTCACGCCTTTTCACACAAGCGGGAAAACGTTTTCACACCTTTTCACACAAGTGGAAAAAATTTTCACGCCTTTTCACACAAGTGGGAAAACATTTTAACGCCTTTTCACACAAGTGGGAAAACATTTTCACAAAATTTCCCATTCCCATTGAAAGTGATAACTTTCAATTGCAATGTACTGTACTCAGCGTCGAGTCCGAGTCCACCGTGGAAATTCATGAAAAAAACCTGACACAAAAATTTCAGAGAATCTTGGTTGCATAACTACAGAAGAAGGTTTCAAGAAGACGGTACAATATGAAAGATTTATTGTTTCAATTAAATGACTATTATTTCGAATTAAAACAATTTCAATTTAAAACAGAACAAATGTTTATATTGCTGTTGAGTCTTAGTCACTTACATCGATTCCAAGTCCCAAGTCCAGGTACGAAGTATCAAGTGTAAATCCGAGTCTGAGTCTATATTTAGAGTAACTCGAGTCGGAGTTGAGTGACAAAAATGTGACTTGAATCAGAGTCTGTCTGAGTCATGAGACGTACATCTCTGGTAAGTGGCCAATGACCTCCATGCCCTGTCTTCTAGCCCGTCACAAAAACAGACTGCTGGAAATTGTGAATTTGCGTGCTGGTAGTCAAGAGCCAAATTTGACTGTATAACACGGAGGTGAAACTTTTTCAATTTTAATCGGATCTAAAGTTTGTTTGGATCTAAAATAAAACAAGAGGCGGTGTCCGGCAATTGGGCTTAAAAGTTTATTGTACAAACTGTACGTATGTGTAACTGCGGCGCGGCCCAGATTTTGAATTACACAAATTTTTGTTTGGCCTATTTTTCTTTGGTTTCCCCATAGGCCAGTTTCATATCTGATAACAATGATTATGAACTTTTAGCATGAATTGAATCTGCAACCGGTGGAATAGTTAACAAGTGACAATTCAATTCCTATGAAAAGTGATTTACTCGCCAGTCAGTTTCCTGTGTGAAATGACTACTCTAGGCACAGGTTCACTGTGCGCCGAAAAAGCCCTGTATTGGTATTGGTGGAAGTGTTGTGCAAGTTATTGTTCAGAAAAACCTGTCATGGAGTAGTTTTGCTTTGTACAACAACTGACACTGTGCTTCTGCAATGGGTGTACAGGGATGGTATGCCCCGACAGGTTTTCGGACCAATCTTGGCATGATCACTGTATACTCATGGGAGCTTTGGATGTTGTATAGAAAAGATGCTTCATGTCTTATCACAATTCCTTCTTTGATCTGACAGGAATTTGATGGTACCCTTTCTAAGAAAAAAAAAAATTATTTTACTTATTGTACTATTGAATAATTTTGATTTCAAGTTGAATAATGGTGATTTAAGAGCATTTTACTTATCTAAATTCATCTTAAGACAAGATAAGTTTGCGGTAGCACCATGTGAATAAATCTCTTTTGTGAGTATGTGTGGTTCTGAAAAGAACCGGAGGGACTCAACGTTTCGAACAGTATGCTCTGCCCGATGCTCTGCCTGATTCTCCTGACGATGGGCAGAGCATACTGTTCGAAACACATACTCACAAAGAGATTTATTCACATGCTGCTACCACAAACTTATCTTGTCTTAGTATCTTTCCACCATGCAAACCTTCAAATCTCATCTTAAATTCATCTTTGCCTTGAAATTTGCTAGGGAGACCTGAAGCAGTACCTGCATGCCACCCGCGGCGAGAACGGTACAACCAATGTACCGCCACCTTTCACCCTGGCCCAGAAGCTGGATGTAATCAACCAGGTGGCCATGGGCATGGAGCACCTTGCCAGTCACCGCTTCATCCACGGTGACTTTGCTGCCCGCAACTGCCTACTCAGCCCGGCCATGGAGACCAAAGTCAGCCTGATGAGCGTCAGCCGGGACCTGTACCGGGCCGAGTACCACGAGTACAAGCAGAAGCTGGTGCCCGTGCGCTGGATGCCGGCCGAGGCCATCTTCGAGGACGAGCTGTCCACCAAGAGCGACGTCTGGGCCTACGGCGTCTTTGTCTGGGAGGTCTTTGCCCAGGGCGAGCTGCCCTACAAGACCCTGGACAACGACGCCCTCATGAGGGCGCTGTTGGACGGCAACCTGACGCTGGAGACGCCGGCCGGCACTCCGGATGAGGTGGAGATCCTGATGCACCGCTGCTGGGCTGAGAGTGCCAAGGAGCGTTACTCCTTCAGCGATATCGTCTTGGCGTTGCAGAATATATCACCTGATAGCAGTGTGTGAGAAACACATACAACAGACTGTCCCCCGGGGACTCTCTAGAGAGCTCACGCTGACATGCACAATCAAATTCTTAACCAAATCCCTACACGAATCAGCACAAAAAGGCGAGCTGCGTCATTAATTCATGTGTTTCTCAAGACTTGCAATTTTAGAGAGTAACTAGTTCTTGACAGTTTTAGAAGGTACATGTTTGGTTTCAAATGTTGTTTGTTGTTGCAAACTACATACAATAGTTGATCCTCACTTCAATGGTGTGCAGAGACAGGCTAATTGATGTATGAACTTTTGAGAAACCAAAATTTGCTTTTGTAGTTGACATAGTTCTCTGTCTCCTCTTTCCCCTCCAAATCCACACTGTGCCTAACCAGTTCATGCATTTTAAGTGATTGTGTGTCTTAAACACAAGGCACTTGCAAGTGTAAAATTAAACTAAGACCTACTGAACTAATAGGTCTTATTCACAGCCAGCATCTATTCAACGTTATTAAACAAAAGGGGAAGAATTCCATACATGGACATCACTAAGTGTTTCCCTGCAGTGAACTATCAGCCATCAGAAAGGGATAACATGTCCTAAAAAGTCAAATATAGCTGGAAAACTATTGAGGCATTTAATGAGAAAATAGTTAGCAAGTTTTCAGACCAGTCTCATAGGGTTTGTGCAAAGGGTGTCAAGCGATGCCCAAGTATGGAAGTCTATCTGCAAAAAGAGAGCCAGATTTCGGCGCAATCTCGTGGCGCCGCTAAGCAAACAAGTTTCTACTAACTCAGCCTCCATCATTTTAACAGAGACCATAAGCAGTAACCACAGCAAAAAGAATGGTAGCTGACGACGATCGTGATGTAAAACTAGTCATCTCCGTGCACACACATGTTAGCACATACATGTATTAGCTTCTGGGTGTCATGAAATTTGCTTAAGGTTAGCCAAAGGTTTCTGCTGTACCTTAAGCATTGCCATGAAATTGGCCCGTTGCTATCATCAGTTTCTAGGTAAACAGGCTAATTTGTTAGGCCCCCCCCCTTCAAACAAGTCAGTTTCAATTTTTTGCCCATTTTTTTAAAGTTATGTGTTTGTACCATTACGTAGTTCTGTACATGTGTTCATTCAATCAATGTGTGATGTGCAAAGAGCCATTCGGAAGCACAATGAAACTTCACCTTTAAAATCTGTGTACATGGTAGCATAGTTCACTGTCAAAATACATGTAAATCCCTTCTTTGGTTTTAGTATCTCGTGTGCTACAAACACTATAGTGTTTGAGGAGAATTGACCAAAAACGATTTTTTTCCCCTTACTATTGCATTGCAAAAGTCCTGTTTCTCTACAACTTTCTTGCTATACCACATGTAGTTTAGCAATGGGGAACAGCCTTGTAGTGTGCAAACTCGTTTTGAAATTTTTGTACAATTTTTTATATGATAGAAAATGCATTATGACATTTGATCAGGTTTACTCAAATATTTATTGAGGTTGAGGATTATCTTGTTTTGGACATTCAAAAGTCTTCCTTCTTTTAACCTCGCACTTAAGTTGATATACAGTACATTTAACCAAGAGGAACTTTTTTCTACATCAAATATCGGACGATTGAGCAATAACAACTAAAAATAGTCACCTCAAATACCAGCACTCCCTATAAAGGGTGATTGCTCCAATATTACTAAAATGCCCCCCCCCCCCTTCTCCCCTAAAAAAAGTCTGAATAACCAGTGCACATTTTGTGAAGTGCACAACGTGCGGAGGTGCGATGCACATATGTACAACATGCAATAATGGTGTGAGCAGGGGTGTACTGATGCTTAGCCATGCTGTTCAACCATTCTTTCTTTGGAAACTTTAACTGTGTGAAATGGATAGCTAGAGTAACTTGCAACTTACGGTATAACGAACCCTGTGTAGGACCAATGAGTGGCACCTGTGTGGCCCGAGTGCAGGTCATCGTGCACCTTTGTTTGCACACTATAGAGTACGCATGAATAATTATCACCTGACTGCGCATTTGAATGCATCATAACAAACCCTGTGTAGGACCGATGAGTGGCGCCTGTGTGGCCCGAGTGCAGGTCATTGTGCACCTGTGTTTGCACTCTATAGAGAACGCATGAACAATTATCACATTAATGCGCACCTGAATGCAGCATAACAGACCCTGTGTAGGAACAATGAGTGGCGCCTGTGTGGCCCGAGTGCAGGTCATTGTGCACCTTTGTTTGCACTCTATAGAGTACGCATGAACAATTATCACCTGAATGCGCACCTGAATGCAGCATAACAGACCCTGTGTAGGACCAATGAGTGGCACCTGTGTGGCCTGAGTGCAGGTCATTGTGCACCTTTGTTTGCACTCTATAGAGTACGCATGAACAATTATCACCTGAATGCGCACCTGAATGCAGCATAACAGACCCTGTGTAGGACCAATGAGTGGCACCTGTGTGGCCCGAGTGTAGGTCATTGTGCACCTTTGTTTGCACTCTATAGAGTACGCATGAACAATTATCACCTGAATGCGGCATAACGGACCCTGTGTAGGACCAATGAGTGGCGCCTGTGTGGCCTGAGTGCAAGTCATTGTGCACCTGTGTTTGCACTCTATAGAGTGAGTACACATGAACAATTATCACCAGAACGCACAGAAAGTAGGTGCAATGCAGCATTTGCATTTAAGTCTTTGTGCACCTTTGTTTGCACTCTAGAGTACGCATGAACAGTCATCACCTTAATGCGCACAAAGTAGGTGCAATGCACATATTCTCCTTGTCACCTTTGAAAGGACCTATGCATGACTTCCTCAAGGACTCTGTCAAATGAAGTGAAACTGATTCACGCGACTCTGTTTTTCTCTTTACTTAAAACACTCTACTTAAAAATCTTGGATTGTATCAGTCCAAACTATCAGATTGTTTGTGAATGAATTCTCTGAATGAAGATGCTGGCTGTATTGATAATATGATGACTATTTTAGATGACGTTGTGTTTATGAACAACTCTGTTAAACATTTGGTACCTTGTAGATTTAGCTTCGATTGGACATAATTGTAGTCTGCCTGTATTTCCTTGCCCATCTGTAATCCTTTTTTTATTAACATTAAGTATCAAGTTTTACTCGTTTAGGATTTTGTAATTTAAATTGGATAGGTTGATTTTTAAACAGGATTTCTATGTAATAATAACCTGACGTTGTCGGTATTCTACAGGCAACATTCAGCAATGTATTGCGTGTATGGGAACACGCAACAGAATTAATTATTGAATATGTCATTTAGAAGAAAAACCTTATTTGGATTGGTCAAGGGGTGATCATACGGAATGTGAGATTATCTCATGTGACTGACGAAAGCGATTGCTGCGAAAAAAAAGTACTTTGTTTTTTTTAATCCAACAACAAAAGAAATCCTTCCAATTATTTGTGTCATCTGTGATCAGGGCCTAATTACATGGCTCTGCTAGCCAATGAATTCTGCGCTTAGAATCACCATTCTATGCTAACATCGCCAGCAGAAAGTATTCTGGGCTAACCTGTAAGCACAGAATCCTTAGTTAGAGATCTGGGCCCAATTTCACGGCGCTGCTAAGCACAAAAATTTGCTTAGCACAAAAAAGTCTGGCTTATAAAAGCAGGTTACCAGCAAAAACTCCACGTGATGTATATTGCTAGTAATTAGTATTCAGCTGTTGTTTGCTTAGCATGAAAATAACATGGACTTTTGGCTGATAACCTGCTTCTATAAGCCAGACAAATTTTTGTGCTTAGCAGCGCCGTGAAATTGGGCCCTCTGTATGCATGCACTTCAGCCGAAATTTCCCGCTAACCTGCAAACTATGCTAATTGTAAGCACAGACTTTCCTGCTGCGGTAGGCAGGGATTTTTCGCTAACGTAATCGGAGCCATGAAATTTGGCCCAAATTCCGTAATGCTTTGTGATTTAAACAAAAAATTCTTTCAGATATTCTACAGAGAATTAATAGTGAACAGGGATTAAAAATAAAGTCAAGCATAGCATGAAGTTTTCAGATGAAATGTACTGATTTGATTTAGAATACATGTGTGAGGCATTCAGACATCAAATGTTTGACATTCCATCATACCGTATTTAAAAAAAAATTATTTCACAACTGATAACTGTCCTGCATTTTGCAATGAGGATCCCACCAATTTGGGTGTTTTAACCCACGCGTCATATGTGCCAAATTTTTGTTTGAGGTAGTCCCATCTTATAAAAAAATTTGTTTTTACTTTACATACATCTTTGCTGTGGAGGGTGTCTCTAATGTTTGATTAACATTGTTTTTATCAAATTGTTTTTTTTTTATACCAAAGAAAGTTTTGTCTCGATTAACTGTACTGTGAATTTGTTTTAATGAAATTACGATTGGACAAATAAGGGCACATAATGTACGGGGTACCAAGTTAAATGTTTCACCCGTTAAAATATGTTAGACTTGTCACGAGCCGTCCAGTGTTCCTATTAATGCATGACTGATGTAGTGAAAGTAAGGGAGTCTTTAGTGAAGTCTTTGTTATTGTAAAAGTTCTGTTTTGGACACGCATTTGGAAGCACATGTAAAATGTCACCTGCTTGTTTCATGCATTTCAAATCCTATTCGTCTGGATAAGCGCTGCAGATATGGAGATTAAGAGTGATTTGTGGGGCAGATAAGGGAAATATTTGGGGGAATTGTGCCTTTGATGATGCAAGCATGGCATTTGGCACACAGTCAGAGTATAAGAAAGATATTTGGCCATAGGGCCATCACAGATTGTCCTTTGAAAAAAAATATTATAGGTAGAATAACAAGCAATTTTTCAAAAGGCAAATCTGCGATGGCCCTATAGCCAAATATATCTTGTCATGACATGCTCTGACTGTGTGCCAAATGCCATGCTTGTATCATCAAAAGGCACAATCCCATCACCTATCTGCCGTACTAATTCATTGTATTCGTAAAGGGCTCTCGTCTGTCTTGTAAATAAATAAGCTCTTCTTTAATGTATAAGTGCACTACTTGCTGGTTTTTTTTACCATTATGTGCTGCAGTGTGATTCTGCATGGTTGAAACTCCCCAGACTTTGCAGAGATCAATTTTAATGTTGTGAATGGTTTTACTGCTACCAGAATCTTGATACAGGAAGAATGCATTTACTAGGGGTGCGTTTTGGCAGTCATAACCAAGAATTGGTTCTGTTGTTTCTCTTTGGCTAATGGTTTTGGGGGTTTGAGTATTGCATTACCGTGAGTAACTCTCGTCCATTTAAAATTCCCGCAGAAATTCACTGACAAGAAACAACCGAACCAATTCTTGGTTATGACCGCCGAAACGCACCCCTGACAGAACCTTTGTGCTTACAAAAATTGCTGGGCATGTTCAGCAATGGCAAAGTCTACATTTCATGTCTGGTTGTCTTGCAGTTCAAGTCTGGCTGATTTCCTTTGAACAAGTGAGCAAGATCGTACAGGTTTTGACAACCTTTGCAAGTTGGAAGCACAATTGTAGTTTAGCCATTTCGGTTTTCCAACTGTGCTCAAACACATCAAAATGTCAGTATTTATTTTGTGCGTTTATCCCCCAGTCAGAATTTAGGTATTCGCACGCACAGTTGGAATACTAAAGTGGCTCACTCTGGTCAAAAGATGTTGGATTGTTGGGGAAGGGGTTAGGCGCTCTGTATGATACATGACATGTACAGGAAAATAAGGCTTATTGTAGTGCATGATTTTTTGATCATTGTATTATTGTATGGTATTTAAAGCGTTAAGTGTAAAAAAAAAAAGTTTAAAAGATTGTTGCATAAAGTTCTGGTAACTGCTGTTGTTGTGCGAGTCTCAAGTGACCGGATGAAGAGTGTGTCGTAATGGTATTCCGTAGGAATATGTATGTACAGTTCAAGTGTGTATAATGACAACCAAAAAATGTGTTCAATGTAATGTACATGTATGAAAAGTGGTCTGCCTTGTACTATGATATGAGTGGTCTTAGGAAAGCGGGCTTCGCTGTTCTACAGAGGAAGCCAGAGTTTTTTAAAAACTTGTTTTTGTTCTAAAGTGATAACGTTCTCCCTCCTTTATTTGGAGGGGGGAGAAGAAGAAGTGTCGCAAAATACGCAACAATTTTATTGGTTAAATTGTGATAATTTGTGGTAGATTAGAACCTCTATTCCCAGCATCTGTGTAGAACTGAAAATTTGTTAAACCAAAAAAAAAGTTTTGAGGGGAAAAAAAGATGGAAGGTGATGATAATTTTAACTTTAATGGAACAAGGTTTGAAGGACAAGTGGAAAGCTTTGCGTGAAGCATTTGTGGCAAGAATTCTTCGGTTTTGAGAATTGCCCAAAATAATGATTATAAATTGAATTCATTGTACAGGTGCATATGTAATATTTAAATGGCTTAAGAATCTTAGATGTGAATTTGGAAGGTGCTTCCTTTCAGCTTGAGGGGATACAAGGCAGGCAAGTAGATACAAAGTAGGATGCCAAACTTCAGCTTGTTCATCGTTTTGATTATTTTTTTGGAGACTAAACAGGGTGAGTAAAAAAAAAAAGGAAATCCAAATGGTGGCCCTAATTTTTTAAAGAAGTTCTGCATGTAGCAATTTCCAGATCTAGGATATGAAAGCCCGATGAATAAGCTTTCTTTTAGTGAAAGAATCTTTCCAATCACTCATGTACTATCCAGTTGTGGAACTTTGATCACAATAAATGCAAGTGACATCTCAGCAAAACGAAAACTATTCACATGTCTAAAAACACAACAGAACACTGTCATAATCATAACATTTATTTAAAAACCAGCTGCTTTCAATGTTAACATAACATGCTTCATAAAGTCAAGAGTTAACATTCTTGCCCTGCCTTCTACTTGGCTACCCCGGAGACTTGATATCATTTTCTGGATACGACATGGTTTTATTTTTTACTAAAATCATGTACCTTAAATGTGATCCGTGGACAAGGTTAAAAAACAGTGTTTGTGTTCAAAATTTCATAACTGGAAAGGTACATGAGCGATTTAAATGATTCTTTCACTAAAAGAAAGCTAATTCATTGGGCTTTCATATCCTAGATCTGGAAAGCGCTACATGCAGAAATTCTTTACAAAATAGGCGGCACCATTTGGGTTTCCTTTTGTTTGTCTCGCCCTGTGAAAGGGCAAGTTTGGTTTTTACAACTTGCAACAAAATGTCCGAGCCCATCTTGTTTGTAAAGATGTAAACGTGTGTTCGACCATCCTTGTCGTGTATACCAATGTTAAACGTGTGAGGCATTTGATGAAGACGGGCTTTGTCAGCAGCAACAAAAAAGATGTAAGATTTTGGTATTGAGAAATGAATTGTACTGCCATGTGGAACTGTCTTCTGTGACAGGGCCTAACGTTTGTCAATTATGAACTGTGATGGTGATTTTTTAAGATTGTGTGATTAAGGGCTTTCGTTTTTGTGTACTTTTTGTTTTTCAAAGTATATATTTGTACATTTCTTTTATGCAACTGCAATCTCGTAGGAAAAAAAATTGTAGCTTTACTTTTTATTGAACTTTTTTTTTTAAAAGCTTGACTGTTTTAATGCATATGTAGGACACATTAAATGTCATGGCTGTCTACCTGCTAATGAAAGTAGTTGGTGTTTATCTGCATTCTATAGAGGGCAGCAAATACCAGATAAAGAAAGGACCATTGAGTAACCACCTCCATATACGCAATACAAGGGCACCATGTTGGAAAAAAACTTAAAATTGTTTGTTGCCAATATTTGTCCATTTCTCGCACTTCATTTTGATATTGTGCAGCCCACGTAATATAGGAACAACTGTTTTATTTTAAGCTGTGCAATCAAAGATAAGTGTTTTAAGAATTGACCCAAAAGTTGAATTCATGAAGAGTAAGCAACGAAAACGGGCTTTGGTCATCCCGAAAAACCATAGTTGACATGAAACAGCCATTTATCAAATAGGTAATATCAAATGTACAAATAATTTTTTTGACTATCTTACGTTCATGTACGTTTTACTTCGAATTCCCACAGTAAAAAAACCTTTAGATATTTAGATCATGAAGCAAGAGAAGACCTTTTGTAAAAAAAATAAAAAGTACTATTTTATATGCTTAATAATTCACGTTTTTACAATTCAATCATTTTTAGACCTTTGATTAAATGTTTGTGTGTATTATTTATTCCCTGTATAAAAGTTTATGTAATGACCACCGAAGTTTGTTAATGGACTCATTTTTAATAACCATTGTTAAACTGCAAGACCTTTTGTAAATTGCTTAATTATTGTATTTTGTAAGTTCTCATTTGATTGTTTTTCTTCCCAATTTTAGAGTAAATTACCCCCTTTGCAGTTAGATCATTTTATTAACAAGTGTCTCTTACACAAACCGAAAGTGAGCCTCTGTACGGACAAAAAAAAAGCTGCAAGATAGATTGTAGAATATGGAAACTCAAAAAAGTGCATAGATCCAAAGCGTCTGTAAAAAAAATGTGAACTTTCTTGAGAACCCAAAATGTGCAGTTTGTAGAAGCAGTGTTTGTGTATTTCATGTAGGTCATGCCACGGTATTAAACGACAGTAAGCATAGGATCATGTTATACTTTGTAATAAGGAGGCGTATTGTAATAAAAGTAATGTATACCCTCAAGTGGATGTGTTTGTCATTGTTTTTTTTTCTCCTGTGTATTTGTTGTCTACAGGGTGTATTAAACAAGATGGTTCTTGAACCATGCTTCTCGCCTGCTTTCGCCATTAACTGTAAAGAGTGACCTTTGACCTTGGTGTGTGACCTTTGACATCATTATCGTTTGAAGGTTACCATGTTGCATCTATGATTAAAGTTTGGTTCCAATTGAACTTCAACTTTTCAAAAAAGGCCACTGTTACATGTTCAGCCTATTATACAACTTGACCTCATATGACCTTAAATACGTACAGACATAGTGATTGCATAGTCTCTTTCCTGAACAAAGTTCAGGCGAGACAAAAGAGGTAATCCAAAAATAATGGGCTAATATGTAAAAGTTACGAACTTGAAAAATGTCCAAAGTGGCTCCATCCTTAGTTCATTAACTTTTCTTTGATACCTTACTTGCATCTCTTCAGTCACGGTGAACAAGCACCATTGATTTCAAAACAAAGGCCAACAAACCTCTGTTTCCAAGTTTGCCGAATTTAAGTGGTCAGTTAAGCCGTCGGATGTTGCTGTGGACAGTGTTCTGAAAGGGATATGTTTATTGTAATTTTGGTGCATGAAATGGTACATAATTATGTTGTCCATGAACGATTCATCATGCACAACATATCCATGAACACCTCCATTGGCGGAGCCAGCCGGACATCATCAACCAAGACCTCCCCTTCCAACCTTCTCAGCCCACAGTGACAATCACAACAGATGCTTCCCCGCTGGGCTGGGGCGTCATGGACTCTCGCCAAACGTTGGATTCCTGGATCCCAACAGAGGCCAGCCGTCACATCAATGTTCTAAAAATGACGGTAGTCTTCAACGCCCTTACCATTTTCAGCACCATGCAGGGGAAATCTTTCCTCATCCATTACGACAACACAACTGGTGCCATAAATCAACCGACAAGACAGGACATAGTTCCCAAGCCTATGCCTGCTCGCTTGGCAACTACTCCACTGCTGCCCCCAGCACACCGTCTCTCTGAAGGCCATTCATCTGACAGGGACGGACAACCCCACAGCCGATGCACTTCCTGGGGCTGAATCTGACCCACAGAGTGGACTCTCCTGGCCTAGGTCGTATGGACAATCATCTCACAGTTGGATTGCTCTTAATACGTCAACCTCTTCACAATGGAACACAATCGCCAGCTTCTGATGTACTGCTACAGCTAGATTTCTGGAGCCACAGGTGTGGCGAACCAACACCCTCTCCATTCTGTTAACCAGCCTGTTTGCCTTCGCTTTTAGCCCCAACTCCCTACTATCTCGAGTAATCAGGAGGATTGAACAGAAACCATGTCGGGTCTCTGAAATTGCCCCGTTCTGGCCTTGGCAACCATGTTTTCCATGGCTTATCGGCCTCCTTCATCACGCCCCGCTCCTCCTCCAACACCGGCCAAATCTCTTCCAGCAGGTCTCCTTTCGTCCTGATATTGCCAGTATTCAATTGACATGCTGGCCAATTATCCAGCATTCCTTGCAGCATTTTGGACTTTCTCAGGAGGCTGCCATCCTCGCAGCTGGTAGCGGTGTCAGTCAACCCCCACTGTTTACTGCAGCCGACTACGGCATTATAAGTGGTGCGACGGCATTCTGTGGATGCCCTCGCTGCACCTCCGAGATTGGCAACTTACTCCTTCACCCCTTCCAGTCTGATCTTGCTGTTCGCACTATTAGGAATTACCACTCAGCAAATGTGGCCATTCATGATTCTACTAGCGAGTACTTAACCATAGAGCATCCGCCTCCCCACTGTCACGTAGGGCAAATAGCTAGTGCCAATAGGGGGATAATGCATATGTAGTCAGGCTCCATGGACAAGTACTCTCTAGTAGATTCAACCCACACTTTTTTAAGGGGGGGGGGGCAATTTTTGAGCAATGTGTCCCATCATCTTACACCAACTGTTCATTTTCTAAAACTGGGGGTTTTACATTTTCCCTGACCACTCCCTCCGAATCTCATCTCAATGTTAATGAACACCAAAACGTCTGGATGCCATTTCGATATTTACACATACCACTCTGCTGCTTTAATTGGCCAATAATAGTGTACAGGTTATTCCATAACACTATCAAGTGTTGTGGTCGAGTCAATCAGAAATTCCCTGAAAGTCCATCACAAGTCCATCACAAATCCTTCAGTCTCAAGTCAAGTCACTAGCTATTCAAATGAACTGTTACAAAAGTACTCCTTTCTCATTTTTCATCCTGTCTCTTGTGACAGGACTTATGAAATGACTTGTGACTGGACTTGTGAAAGAACTTGTGGTGGACTAGACTACAACACTGAACACTATGAGTTTGAGGCTCAAGTGTGTTTCGTTAAAGTTCTTGTTCTGAAATACAAACATCTGCAAGATATCCTGATCAACATGCTGTCCAGGGGCACAGTACAGTCTTTCGTATCCTTCAGCACATGCTCATAACAAGGCCTAGTACCACTAGTACCACGCAAAAAGCCACACAATTACACCCTCGACAATGACAAATAGAGAGATGGCGATTAAAGAACACTCATGAACTGTCGCTGTAGTGCACTCAAATTAAAATGCGTTTCTCTGCAAAGACGCAGTAGTTTTATGCACATTCACGTTAAAATTTGTAGTGCATATTCTGTGCTGTAAGCACTATTGCCGTAAACACTGTGTTAAAAGCCATTGTGCACACAAATCATGTCCTTCCCTCACTGTCTTTTGTTCAGTAGACTATAATTATGGTCTCCATACACAAGTACCTATCCACACCAAGAAAGGGAGAGACATTTGAACACATTGCCGATGACACCCAACACTCACACGAAGACGCTATGGCTTAGTTGTGATTAGATGAGTTGTGCATACTCCACACTATATGAGCGTTAACCAGTACATGCAGGTGGTGTGTCCTGTCATCAACTGGTCTCTCAAAAGTAGTAAAAAAGCGCCCTCTCTGTTCGCGCACGGAGCCTATGCACCATCTACTGTCCCTGCACAGGGTCCATTACTGTACAATCCAAAACTGCTGATAATGTGGGTGATACAGTGAGTGATATTCTGCATTGTTTCAGGAAGTTCACAAAAGCATTGACTACATGTATATCTGCAATATCATCTCTGTTGAGCGCTCAGTTGTTCCATACCACTCTTGAAGGAGCGGCTCTTGGTCATGAGGATCTTGATGGCCTCGGATACCAGTGTTTCTGGAGGCAGGGCACCAGTGGATTCAACCGAAACTGACAATGTAAAAAAAAAAGTTTGGTGGCACTTATTTAGCAATGCAACTCAATATAGAAGATCAATTTTAACCCCAACCTTCCCAAATCCTCTTTGCAAAATGGAGGATTTTACAGTATTGAGGTTACATGGCAAAAGAGTGTTGCTGATTTTGGAGGATGCACTGTGTCAAGGTCTTGGGCTGGACCTCACGTTGTTTATGCTCAGCCGTGCATACATTTAGGCCTGGATTATACTTGAAATCCTCCGAACTGCTCCAGGATGTCAGTGGCTCTGCCTCAACATAGTGACAGTGATTGCTGGAGGATTTTGCAGGGTTGAGGCAGTGGTCACCCCTCCAAGGACCACATTCAAGAAATACAGGCGGATTTTGCAGGATTGAGGATGTATGCTAATTTTACATGGTGACAGTTGATGAATTTTGCAGGATTGAGGTTACATCCTAGCAAAAATGCCTAGGGAGTTAGGGTCAATTAATTAATGATATCTACAGTACTGCCAACTACCAATAGTGATGCACAATTCAATGTGCAACAATGGTACGACATTCAAAGGATAACATGGTTTCTTCAGAGTAAGCCCACATAAAAAACACAAAAGTTTGTTCAGGCCTGGCAATTTCTTAATCTTACCCGTTACGAAAATGACTACAATTCTATTCAACTTTTGTGAATCATACTTACATATAAAATGATCCCGTACCCTGTTGAGTTTCACACAATCTTTCAAGTCCTTTAGGAAAAAAAGGAAAAAACCATAAGTGTTGTTTCAGATTTCTGATATTTTTTTTATTGAGGTACACATTCTGGTTTTCTTTCATCTTACGGTCTGGGATGTAAATGGATTCTGGCATTTTTTGCCTGAAATCTGAGGTAAAAGGAAAAGTAGACAAGTACATGTATGGTGCCAATATGGTACATGTATTTACAATAAATAAAACAACACCCTGAAATCAGGCAATAGACCTTTATCATGCTGCCACCATTTCAGTCATGTTCCCTGTATCTAAACAGTACTAAATGATATTTTTTTGTGCAAAAAGGAACCAGACTATTTTTCCTTCCAGCCTCGCTTTGGTTATGTTGATTTGAATGGGAAAAAAATCAAGATGGCCGCAACATGATAATGGTCTATTGCAGGAGGACTTACATCCCCGTAAAATATAAGAGACACACATTGGGAGCCTTGTCTATCTCTTGATGACTACTCGAGACCACAAAAAAAGAAAGTCCACACTCATTGGAGGGGTAATAATTTGAAATCTGATCATCTTATGATGACATCATTGCATGGACCTTTGGGCAATTTTGTTAGCAACATTTTGATACCCCATTTGAAACCAAAGACTGTAAATCATCCAAGATTTACAATGGTTTATGAAAACTAATGCAGTTTGAAAAGTTGCAAATTTAAAGATTACGCGAGGAGAAATTGCGGAGCGCAAACACACATGCCCGTAATTGGCCCCTATCGACTGCACAGTGCCCGAACAAAGCGCGGGTAATTCAATTTCGCGCGCTCCCATGCATACAAGCACTGTGCGATCAATATTCCCTGCCGTTCGTTTCGGGCAGTGTAATTTCCATTTACGTACTCTTTAAATTTACAACTTTTCAAACTGCATAATTTTTTTGTAAACTGTTGTCAATGTTGGACAATTTACGGTCTTTGGTAGCAAACAGGGTATCAAAATGTGGCCAACAATATTCCCCAATGCTCTATATAAATGACTCTATCATAAGACGATCAGATTCAAAATTATGATCTCTTCAATGAGTTCTTGTTTTGCAGTGTTTATAACTAACTCAATAAGATACATGTACGTAAGATGCCCTCTGCATGTACAACTTTCGACACTTTGGAGAAAATAAACAAAAGTAGGTTTTTAAGTATGTTATGGTTCTTGAGTAGGTTTGTTCAAAAATATACTTTGACATCTCAATAGTACCCTTTATTATTTTTTCATTCATTTTCCAGTTTGACACTTGTGTATAGAAAACATCTCTGACAGATCTCCCCAATTACTCTTGAAATAATACCCTGGGGACCTAGCTGATTTCCCCGTAAATTTACGCCGCAAATCCAAGATATTTTTTAACTGTAATATCCCTGCCAATTCCAGAAGCAGATTCAGTGGGGTGCTGTGGTCCAATGGTTACGGTGTTCGACTCGTGTGCCGTGGTACATGGGTTCGAATGCTGACCGTGGGAACATGGCGCTTGTGCTCTTAAGCAAGGCACTTTACCATTTTTGCTTCGTCCTTCGGATGGGACGTAAAGCGGTTTGTCCCGTGTGTTGTGTAATGCACGTTAGAGAACCCAGTAACACTTATCGCTGAGAGAAGGGGTTTGCCCCAGTGTTTCTTCCAGTGGCTGCAATATGCGACGCAGCACCTTGTAAGGTGCTACATAATGGGTCTCATATTTCTCATAGACTTCATTTACCTGTCTTTAATAATAGACATAATTTCCAGCGCCTTGAGTACCTAATTGTTGGTAGATACATGCGCTATATAAGACTCCGGTATTATTATTATTATCTTCTTGCCCTACCTCGTGTCTGAAGACCTCTCGACTGCAGGTGTCTCGCCTGGGGTGGGCAACCACTGCTTGCTTGACACCTGTTATGGGATAGCGAATGCCAACAACAAACTTTAGTGTACATTATACAATAGACCTTAGACAGAATGTATACAATAGACCTAAGATGTAATGATGTCACGCTTTGTTTACATGTGCGCTTTCCTATGAGAGCCACGTGGTACACGTCCCACTTGGCTCTCATAGTAAAGCGCATATGTCAACAAAGCATGAAGTCATTACGTCTTAGGTCTATTGTTGTCTGCTGTGGGATATGACTTTGTTTTGTGTCAAAAGTAGTGGTCCGAATAAACCATGTACAAAGTCTATGGAATTTGGGTCACAAAAGGAAAACAAAAAAGAGGGAAAAAAAATCAGAACAAAAGCAAAGGCTTGCGTAGTAAGTTCCAACCATTTATCATTTTTGACTTTATATTGGTATGATATGTTATATATCATAGCACCCTCGGCTTCACCCTCAGGTGTTGAAAACGTCCTATCCCACATCACATCAGTCAACCAATTATTGTTAAATGTATCACCTAGGCCTAGTATCACCCAGGGTAAATTTCAAAAGTTTGCTTCTAAACATCATGTCTTACATGTACATGTTGAGCGGTTATGGGACTTAATCATCACACCCAGCTATTTCTCCAACTCACCATTGATGTCTTTGACCTCAATGACCCCTGGGGAGAAGCACTGCGCCAGCCTGTCAGCTTTTTCCCCCGTCACTGGTTGGGTGAGAACGATTTCTGGTAGTAACCTGTAGGACGCAGTGGCTGTTGAATGGGAGAGAGGTGAACCAAGAATGGGTGTAAAATAATATCACTAACACACTACCAGTACATAATCACTAAACCCTGCTCGTAAAACCTCCCTTATACTATCCCAGCTCCCAGGTGAATATACAGCTCGATGTGGCCATGTTACCACAATTAAAAGTAAAAGTAAAGTATGTCACAAGCCAATGTGGCCCATCAGACCGGTGTTTATCTCCGGTTTCAGTAGCATGAAATGACTGAGAATATTTCTACTCCCCCTGGATGGGAGGCTAGTCCATCGCAGGTTACTCCCCAGCTAATGCCCGCGCCCATTTGTACTTCTGAGTGGAGAGAGACAAGTGGGGGTGAAGTGGCTTGCCCAAGGACACAACATGTGGCCAGCAGCTGGATTTGAACCCCTGACCCTCAGATCATGAGTCATGAACCCTGACCACTAGGCTACACTCCCGTCTTTTAAAGGTGCAACCTGCTAAATCAATATTTGCAACTGCTAAATAAATACACAGCACCTCTGCCGTCACAGGTACGCATTTTATTCTCAGTTTAGAAGCAACTTGTGACAAAATGTCTTGCCCAAGGACATGACACCCACTTCATAACCCCGCGGGATGGACTCCAACCCACAATGTGCAGAATGAAAAAAAAGGATAGTGAAGCACCAGACCACGAGGCCAAGCTCTTCCCATGTACAGAAATGCTCCATGCTGGTTCACATCGCACTTGTCTTACTGGACAATGTCGTACAGCAAAAAATCAAAAGTGTTATTACTCTTTTTGACAAATGTTCCAAATTTTCTTTGAAAGCAACCAACTTTTAAGTGCCAGTTTGATTTCTCCTCAAAAGATAACGCAGATAACAGAGTCAAATTTTTTTAAATAGTCAAAATGTTTGACTCAAAATATTGAGCAAGTAGAGTATTTCGAACACTGGTTTGGACCACTGAACGGCTTTTAACTTACCCTGCAAATTGATGGATTTGTGAGGTACTTCTTGCAAATTTCATGGTGTATTTGTGAGGCGTCCGAGCGACTGACTTACCCACAGGTGAGAATTTGGCATGGTCCTTGCCGATGCCTTTGACGCAATGCATCTTGATGTCCATCTCCTGGCCGGGCCTGAGCTTGGCAATCAGGATGTCATCATGGACTGGACGTATGGCTCCTTCTCCATACTGAGGAAAATAGAAAGAAAGAATTGGTCATGTTTCATTAACAAATCTGCGATTTGTGTGAAGAACAGGCATAAAACACAATGAATTAACAGAAATGACTTGAATGGCAATGCAATGCAGGCTTTTCACAATGCAGTGCGCCACCAAGAGTTTGCCACGGAGAGTTCATTTTTCCTAGTGCATTGTGGGAGATGGTCGACAAATTCGCAGCAAGGGACATTTGAAATTGTTAGTTTTTTTCCGGTCAGTTGTTTCGCAAGCGTATGAGTATAAATTTGCCTTTTTCTTTTCTTTGTATCAATATGGTGCTTTTAGTAAGGCGGCTGAACGCTACACCCAAATTCATAACCAATCAGCTAAAGTTGTTTAATGACACTCATTCAAATGGGCCTTGTTTTGTCGACTTAAATTTGAAAAACTGGCTCTCCATGGCAAACTCTTGGTGGCGCACTGCATTGTAAAATCGCCCGAATTCCAACTTGAAACCAAATCAATCACAAGTCAAGCAAGCCAGGGGATGAACAATGACTAACGGATTCCTTCATCACAATTTCAACATTGGACCCAGCCCCTCACACATGTCACAGATAGGCACTGCATTACTCAGTGGTGCCCTATGGTTTTTCAAGAATTGGGTGAGACTCGAACCCACAACCTCCTGCTTACTAGTGCAGAGGTCCAACCACTGAGCCGGCCAGGACCGGTTGGTCAGTTCAAATATGATGTAACAGCAGCTACTTCTGCAATCATTCACTAATTTTTAGTACTTAAAGAGATACAAGACTGATTTCAGTACTGTCACATTTTACATCTTGTCACTTGACTGGATGAATTCTGATGACAGGTGCGGATCTGGGGGGGGGGGGGGGTCGACTCCCTACTCTGACATTATTGTAATGGGTCATTCCGTATCAAATCACCCCAAAAAATTAGAAGTTTAAACCCCAACCCCTTCAAATATGGGGCAATTTAGGCAGAAAAAGCTGAAATTTTAAGTTTAAGCGCCATTCCGCCAAACGATTTTTGCACTACTCCCCCCGCCACTGTTTGGCAATATCGGTCAAAATGGGTGTGGCCGCCAATTTTCAAATTACCATATCTCCACAGCCTGTGAGCCAAATTTGTTAATGTTGGTTACAACTTACAAAATTTTTTTTGGTCGGAGTTATTTGAAGTATGATGACTTTTTGACCTTTATTTTGACCTTGAATTCGACAATGTGGATCATGTGACTCTAAGACGAACTTGGATGGATATTATACCACACCATGTTTTTTTTACAAAATATCCAAAAATTGAGGGCATATTTTTTGTTGGGTTTCTAGCTCACCTCAAAGTTGGCATACGTGTTGCAAAATGTGATATCCCTATGCAGTGTACTAGTGGATTTAAAGCAGGGATTTTTTTTACCATGAAATGTGCACATGTACACAACCGCTCAAGTGGCATCTGCAAGTGGATACTACATTCTTTCAGAATTTGAATTGCACAAATGTAACAGAATTATAATCAAGTCATTGCAAGTCATACATTCTCAAGTAACGTAGCAAGCTATTCAAATGAACACAGACAAACACATTTCTCTTGTCAGTGTTCATCCCCTGTAACTTGTGCCCTGACTTGATTTAACTTGTGATCAACTCATTGACAATGCTGGGAAAAACAAGTACGTGCAACTAGTGATTTGTCTTTCAGAAATCTATGAACCTTGAAACGAATAGAAAAATGACTTGACTTCAACTCTGCAGTAAAAAATTACAAGAAAACCACATTTACCATTTCGGATTGGTTGCCAATGGGGATCCACTTCAGGTACTCTGTAGTCACTTTGAGCAATGAAACAAAAACAAGACAATCACTATATTATTCTCTCTTTTAATATTCTTGTTTTTAGGGTCCTTTAACCAGTTCGCGCCGGGATAATTTCGACACTGACCGGACCCAGGCGCGGGATTGTTTTTCACAAACCTCGATGCCAGACGGGTTCAGGCCGTCATCTGCGGGTAGCACACCCTGATATTTCCGGCCTCGCTCGCTCGCTGCGAGGGGGTCGCAGACAGATACTTCCGGCCTCGCTCGTTGTGTGTCTATCCTTCATCCGTTCCGAATACCGCAAAACCTTTGCGTGTATACAAGTCATCCAACGTGAACCGGTTAAATGAAACATTCCCTCTTAGCTCATGTATAATATGTGTACATGTTGGCATGAAATTTGATTAAACACTAAGTGCCATCCAATAAGAGCTGACTTTAGAAATTGTAAAGCAATCCCTACAAGAAAAGACAAGGCTGTTGATTGTTTTATAACCATCAGCTCTATCCGCTCCATTCACAAGTACCCCCTCACCGGCAAAGAAAGTACAGTTGGGGGTGACTGACCGATGCCATCTTGCCTGACTGCAATTTTGCCGCGACGCGCAGCCGTACCATTGCGTGTACATACAAATCCCCTGGTGTACATGCGTCACCCACAAAGTACAGAACGGTGCGCGCCAACCAGCTAAATGACCCGCCCATGGGACGTCATTGCTAGGTAAAAGGGCGCCCTCTTTATTTGCGCACAGAGCCCATAGCAGCCTGTACAAATGTACAAATGATTCAGATGTAGAGATGTATTTTCCATCAGCCCCGAGCTCCCTTCGCGCATCAACTTCAATGCTGACAGCAGCACAGAAGAATACTCAGTGCATTGTTAAAAGAGAAGGCGCTTTAAATTTGTCCAGCTCCCCACTGGCTACAGGAAAGAAAGGTTGGTGTGTCATCGGCCTAATGAAAATTATTGTTTAGCCCACTGATTAGTCAAAATCTGGAGGTCAAGAGATGGTGGTCTTGCATAACTAATAGCCAAATCTGCATATCACAGCTGCTCTCTGCATGAGCATCTATACCACAGATTAGTGGCAAGGTAAGAATCCCCCTACTACCTTTAGAGTGTTTGTAGAGTTCGTCAGGATCTGTTGCATCCTTGTCAGCCCCGGGGTTCTTGGTGCATTTCACTTTCAGCTGAAACTCAATGGTATCCTCTGCTGTTCCCTCCTCATCACCTGACAAGAGGAATTGTACAAAAAAAGAAGACAGATGAGGTAGGAATCACCGCGGCAATACGTCCATTGGTCTGACTTAATGAGTGTCAGCCCCAGCCAGAGTTAAGATCTCCCTCCCACCAGTTAAGCCCCTCCCCCTGAAATACCTTCCTGTTGATACTCAAACATCTGTGGGTCTGCCTTGATGAGTATCAGCCCCAGCCTGTCAGTAAAGAGCTCCCTCCCACCAGTTAAGCCCCTCCCCCTGAGAACCCTCCTGTTGATATTCAAACACCTGTGGGTCTGCTTTGATGAATATCAGCCCCAGCCTGTCAGTAAAGAGCTCCCTCCCACCAGTTAAGCCCCTCCCCCTGAGAACCCTCCTGTTGATACTCAAACATCTGTGGGTCTGCCTTGACGAGTATCAGCCCCAGCCTGTCAGTAAAGATCTCCCTCCCACCAGTTAAGCCCCTCCCCCTGAAATACCCTCCTGTTGACACTCAAACATCTGTGGGTGTGCCTTGATGAGTATCAGCCCCAGCTTGTCAGTAAAGATCTCCCTCCCACCAGTTAAGCCCCTCCCCCTGAAATACCCTCCTGTTGATACTCAAACATCTGTGGGTCTGCCTTGATGAGTATCAGCCCCAGCTTGTCAGTAAAGATCTCCCTCCCACCAGTTAAGCCCCTCCCCCTGAAATATCCTCCTGATAATCAAACAAACGTGGGTCTGTCTTGACGAGTATCAGTCCTAGCCTGTGAGTAAAGATCTCCCTCCTACCAGTTAAGCCCCTCCCCCTGAAATACCCTCCTGTTGACACTCAAACATCTGTGGGTCTGCCTTGATGAGTATCAGCCCCAGCTTGTCAGTTAAGATCTCCCTCCTACCAGTTAAGCCCCTCCCCCTGAAATATCCTCCTAATAATCAAACAAACGTGGGTCTGTCTTGACGAGTATCAGTCCTAGCCTGTGAGTAAAGATCTCCCACCCACCTGTTAAGCCCCTCCCCCTGAAATATCCTGCTGATAATCAAACAAACGTGGGTCTGTCTTGACGAGTATCAGTCCTAGCCTGTGAGTAAAGATCTTCCTCCCACCAGTTAAGCCCCTCCCCTGAAATACCCTCCTGTTGATACTCAAACATACGTGGTCTGCCTTGATGAGTATCAGCCCCAGCCTGTGAAATAAAATCCCCCTCCCACTAGCTAAGCCCCTCCCCTCAGATATACCCTCCTGTCAAACTCGAACATCTATGGGTCTGCCTTAACGGGTATCAGCCCCAGCCTATGAGCTAAAATCGCACCTCCCAAAAGCTAAGCCCCTCCCCTCTCACATACCTACCCTCCTGTCGATACTCAAACATTCGTTGGTCTGCCTTGATGGGTATCAGCCCTAGCCTTTGAGCTAAGATCCAACCTCCCAACAGCTAAGCCCCTCCCCTCCGATATACCCTCCAGTCAAACTCAAACACCTGTGGGTCGAACTCAATGGGTGTCAACCCCAGCCTGCGTAGTACACGTAAGATCCCCCGCCCACCAGCTAAGCCCCTCCACTCTAACATACGTACCCTCCTGTCGATACTCAAACATCCGCGGGTCTGCTTTGATGGGTATCAGTCCCAGCCTGTGTGCCAGGATCTCATCCTGAATGATGGATGTGTTGTTGTACATGAAAACCTTCTCAATGGCCATTGTCGGTACCTATTTTGGGCAAGAAAAAAGAAGCAGAGATTAAGTGAGATTCAGTGTCTTTCAGACAGTTACGATGAACTTATGATCTCTCCTAGGATTTGAGAAGAAATAGATAGAGCATGCATGAGGTTTTTTTTTTTTTGCATTTAGCGCTCACACTTTAATAAATAGCTGCAGCTGTTCAATATTACATGTAGGTGAAGAAGTAGGAAAGAAGTACTCCGTAAACGAAGGTCCTGGCATAATTTTGGTATTCCAGCCAAACATCATTTCACAATTGTTTTCTTTTCTAATAACAAGTTTATCATTTTATGTCAATCAACAAAACTGTAAACTATTAAGTTAGTCACATTCACTGTACAATTTAAATTTTCTTCTAAATGACGGCATTTAGAAGTAATGGTGCGTGTGTTCTTGGGCAAGGCACTTTGTCACTCATTGCTTCTCCCCACCCAGGAGTAAATGGGTACCTGTGAGGGCAGAGATGGTTATTGTGGTCGATTCTAGCTGCTTTGCGCCGAAATGGCAGCATTGACCTGTATGCTCCTCAGGGAACTGAGATGGTATTTGGAATGTTTCATTGGCCCAATGATTAGGGGTAATAACAATGTAAAGTGCTTACTAACCTCTCTATAAGAACCTATATTATTATTTTAAGCTGACAATCTTCCTAGGATGTTTCCACACCACTGCTGTCTTTAATACCTTTGATTATTAATTGCGTTATTAATATTTATCATTGATTCAAAATTTTGTGACATTTTAGGGAAACATTACAGCACTTGATACCTCAGCCAGCAGTATTCTCCTAAACGCATTGGCTAATGCAGCATCGATGCCAACCATGTCGAACTCCATCTCTGTGTCGGTCAGACGCACAATGTCAATGTGGAAATTCTGAACAACAAAAAGGGAATCAGGGTTCAAGAATTGCGTAATCTTCATTCCATTTTGATAGAAACCTCGAATCACCAAATGGCACAAAATTGAAATGTGCATGTATGCACACAATGTATGAAGCTTTGTGTGTATCATTACTAAAGCAGAGACTGTGAAGCAAATCTCTTAATTAATGTTTCAGGCTAAGGGAGATAAACTTAAAGGGAATATACAACATTTGCAAACATCGAAAAATAAAACTACCAAGTTTTAACGAAATACCTTACTAGGATGTTGGTCAATGACAGTCTAAAGCATCCTGTAAAATTATGGCACCTGGTGTCGAGTCATTTTCAAGAAAACGGTATTTTTGTATACATTTCCAACGGTGGTCGGCCGACCACCGTTGGAAAAACCTAACTATTTTTCAACTACTGCTCCAAATTTACATTTTTTTTTCAGTCCAAATTTTGTTTGCTATTGGTTACATGTTCATGAACGGGTGCAGGCCAGCTAGACTGGTTCCCTTTTCTTACAATTTTCCGACATCTATAAATTGATCCATTTTATCTTTAGTGGAGTCGGGGAACCAGACTACTTAAACAGTTTTGTTTTTCTTGGTTTTTCAAGCATTTTCGAACACAAAACTTCAAACATGTCAATTAAACAATATTTGATCTATTATACTAACCCCTCAAATAGTTCATTTCTGAGAATTACAGCAAAAGCCAATGATGTACATTCCCTTTAATGAGGGTTTTGATGAATTCAGAGTACAAGTAGCAGGATTTAACAATTCTAACATTTCCATTATTTCTTCTGTCGAATTTGGTGGTGAAGTACAAAGAAATGTTCAAATAAATGATGACATTTCAATTGTGTATTAAAAAATAAGGTAATGATGGTGAAGGGGAAATGTGCAATGCTGGGTTATTTGATCTTAATCAAAGGAAAAGTGGACTGCTTGAGTTGTAAAGTGTCAAGAAAATCTAAGTGTTCTTTCAGCACAAATGCTACTTATTCTGGTCAGAACTTTATACAAATACTATGGCATATACGAAAATATACATCGGTGAAGGGCAAAACCTAGTTTGATTTACTATGGCATATCTCAATGAGATTTCAGGTTCTTTGAAATTGAACACAGGAACATCAGAGAAACTACATCCACTGGCAAGACTCTGAGGACTGGTTTTCCACTGAACCTTTAACCCTAACTCCCTAGCGTCTTTTACTAGGAACTGGACCAAGTCCATCAAAATCCATCAATCACTGTGCGTCCAATACAAAACTGTAAATGACATAATGGAATCCACCACTGACGCACTGGTTGACATTCATGGACTCGCTGCACATGGGTTTTATCCCAATAGCAGTACAGGAAGCTAGGCAAAATCAATCGGATACCCCTAGCACTGCTTCAGGCCATTAAGCCCAAGTCCATCATACTCCATCAAAATGGGGGGATGGATTTTGATGCAGTTGGGGTGGTTAGCTAGGGTCAATCAAACAGAGTGACGTAGTTCACTGTCGAAGTAGCATTGCTTACAGACCCATCTGGACTAATAATGAACGTACCTCCACAAACTTTTCGTGGTTCCAGCTGTCATCAAAACCCACATAGTTACCAGGAAAATCTGAGCTGTGGGGCTATAAATTGGACAAATAAGAGCAACTGGTAAAATCACATACACCAATTATGCCTATCATAATAAAAAAAAGATGGAACAAATTTCCAACATGTCCAATATTCTTAAGATACATGTACCTCTATGACTATGATAAACCTTGATCTTTGATAGGCAGTGAACATCTGAATGTGAACCGGTCCTAATTTTTTTTGTCGCTCTTAGGCATTGCAATGAACATGCGCAGTGAATGTTTTGGCAATCGTGTATCTACGGGCCCGGTTCCTATAACTTATAAGGGAATAAAATCCACTTTTATTATTTGACCTACCAAACTAGTTGGGGACATTAAGAACATACAGGTATGTCATAGATAAAGATATACTTTAGGATGATTGAAAATGTCATTTTTGAGTAATAAAAAACACTCTTGACTCTCATTTGATTGAGGCAAAACAGGGGCCCTACTCTACACGATCGCCAATGTTATTCTTACTTAGTCTTACCGTGACAAAACTTTGTCTGGTGCCTTACTAACAATTGTTGTTGTGACTTTGTATTCAGGAGATGGGAATCAGACCTAGTCCTAGGCCTACATGTTTAGCAATTTCGGACTCTATAAAAATCCTCCAGAGCCCCAAAAAAAATATATATTCCGTAATCTGGCATTTAAATAGGCCTAGTATTTAGTAGTCCGAGTAACTTGGACCCAACTTATCGCCTTTTTTAACATTTGGACATGGTCTATCGCCAGACCATGTCCAAATGTTAAAAAAGGCGATAAGTTGGGTCCAAGTTACTCGGACTAAGTATTTAGCATGTTTAGTAATGCGATAGGCATTAGAGCTGGAGTTACTCAAGCTAGCAATTAGCCTAATTAAATTTATGTAGAATTTTAATTTACAACAACAAAGTGTCGGCTAAGACATGTACAAAAATGATGTAGGGCCAGGGGCCGGGCCTAGCTGCACATAAGTCAATGCAAATTGCAATTTTGTCGTCTGCTACTGCTACTAAAAAGTGCTACAGTGCCAGTACTAGATTATACATTACATGTATACAGGCCTACATGTACATTTGTACGTTAATAGTGTACACGTTTTTTTCAATCCTCCAAATGTTAAAGATGCATAATTCACAATAATATGGAAAGAGTTACCCACATTGTCTATTTCATGCTCTAGCATTCGCACACGTGTGCGAGTTTCTTCAATCGCAGCCATTTTGAGCAACTTTACTGGAGTAACTATCACACAACATACGGACGGAAACGAACCGAAACGAGGAACGTTCGACATTGAAAGAGGAAAGGTTAAAATAGTCCATTAAGTTTACTTCAATTCTTATTAATTTTACCAAATATTATTTCTTCTAAACACACGAATAATCAATTTAATTTAATGAAATTTAATATTTGCACGTCTTTATTTTTCCATTTTGACGAAAAATGTATATTTAAATAAGGAGTAGATTTACGCACCACTTAAAACACCCCCTTAAATTAATCGAACCATCCATTAAGAGGGCGGATGATATTTGCAAGGTGGCGGACGGTCGTGGTGCAGAATCCCACAGATCATAATGGTAAAATAACATTTTAATTCTCATTTTGATGTATTTATTTTATTGCTTTCTATGTCATAATGTTTCAGGAACGTATTCTGGAGTTTTGAGTTTTTTTTCTCTGTGTAATAGTCGGTGATTTCCATGAGAAAAAACAAACCAATTTTGACAAATGCCAATCATTGAATGCAATGGTCAGTCAGTGTTAGTGTCCTACTCGTACTGGTGTACAAATGTTAAAGGGGCACTCCGAAATCCACGAAATTTTCATGGTTTGGATTGTTTACTTAAACTATGGGGAAAGTTCCATACTCGATCGTCAATTTATCTGCTGCCAAACATATTAATTGTCACCTCACCTTGTGATTTCAACCAAGAGGAATCCAGGAAGCTGTGTTAACTTAAGGTGAAAAAAAATTAGGAAAAACGTGTTTTTAGAGCACATTTTTGGATGCACACGTCGTGCAGAACCAAGTTGAAGCAGCCGGTCAAAACTGATTGAAGTGTCTGGAACAGCGGTACATTAATTTTACGAAAATTTGGGACTCTCAATACTGTGTATGAGAGTCCCAAAACCTAAGGTATCCATATCGTGCAAAAGTTTGTGCTGCATAATAAAACCAGTGTGAATCAAATTTGCAAGCTTCTTACTCACTACAGTTTCTTCAATAATCTCCCAAACTTCTGCCTCGCAAAGTTGCTGTTGTGAGCATTGCATCACCAAAAATTCAGCTTTTAATTCTAATTTTGCAGAGAGTTATCGAAATCCAAACGTGAGACATCACGTTGATGTGTACTGCAATGCATTGTGCAAAAAAACTCCCTAGCTAGAACATTTTCATCGTGTAGATAAAACAGCGCCCTCTTGTTGATCTGAGTGAATGTAGAATGTTTCATTTTTTAACAGAGGGCGCTATGTTTATTTGGCTATCGATTAAAAAACAAGTAAGCTGCAAGGCTCTACCTACACTAGCCCGACTGCGTCTGGCCGTACAGTACTATCGCAAGCTCTGTAGTACGGCCAGACGCCCAATGCTTCCAAAAAGACTGAATTTTTTTGGCCGCTGATGTAGCGATTTTGCTACAGATTTCGATCGAGATTATCTTTTCATCCAGGACAAAAATTTCCAAAGTTAAGGTTCTTAGTCGTAGAGCAACTCATACCTTTTCGAAAAAACGTTCTTTGGTCTTAATATTTTCATCCATCTGGCCAAAAGACGACTTTCAGTCATCATCTTCCACAAATATCGTCCCGAAAAAGCTCCCCCATGCGATTTCAAAATGGCGGCCGCGCTGTAATGTATGCATTATGCGAGCGCGCTTGGGCAAGATAATGAATATGCATTGTTTAGATCATGACCTCGTGTTTGTATGGCCAGCCGCGCCGAGTGTCCGACAAACGTCATAAGCTATGATGCATATTCATTATCTTGCCCAAGCGCGCTCGCATAATGCATACATTACAGCGCAGCCGCCATTTTGAAATCGCATGGGGAGCATTTTCGGGACGATATTTGTGGAAGATGATGACTGAAAGTCGTCTTTTGGCCAGATGGATGAAAATATTGAGACCAAAGAACGTTTTTTCGAAAAGGTATGAGTTGCTCTACGACTAAGAACCTGAACTTTGGAAATTTTTGTCCTGGATGAAAAGATAATCTCGATCGAAATCTGTAGCAAAATCGCTACATCAGCGGACCAAAAAATTCAGTCTTTTTGGAAGCATTGGGCGTCTAGCCGTACTACAGAGCTTGCGATAGTACTGTACGGCCAGACGCAGTCGGGCTATACCTACACCTACCCAGAATACATTGGGAATCACACACACATTTCCAGAGCATGGAGATTGACGTGGATGGGTTTTGAACTGCCAAAAACTTGCCTTAAAATTGGATTTAAGGTCTCAAATTTCGCAGGTGACATGCTTGCAACTATATCATTTTGATATATGTGTTGTGTGGGCATTAATTAGCCTAGTGGTGAGTAAAATAATGTCAGTAGTAATTTTGCACGTTTTTATGCACTCACGGTCCCAGTCTGGTTATACGCATGACATCGATAACCATGACGTCGCATGAGCCGGCCAATGATAGTGCAATACGTCATTATGAATATTTATTTTCTCATGAATATTTAGTTTATTTCGATGGATACTTCAAATGCGTCCAAAGATTGATTATTGCAACAGCGATCGTGCACGGCCTAGCGGTTAAGAGTCTCGTGTATCAAGCAAGCGTCCGGGGTTCGAATCCCGATGAAATAACTGACTGATTGATAAATAGAAATTAAGGAAAGGAGAGGGTGAGAGTAGAGGAGGGAAAGTGGAGGAATAACCATAAAAGATGTAACTTTTGGCGCTAGAAAATTAATTGAAAAAAGTGGCGATCGAGTATAGAACTTTTTCCTAAACTATTTCAAACATCTGGTTGAAAGGAGACCAACCTAATGTCTTACCGTTCCCGAGAAAGGACGAACAAACGCAGCTGTTTATATCAGACACGACAGATCGGAGTACGCAAACGTTTTTCCTGTCGTTTAAGTTAATGTACGATACACGTTGTGTAGGCCTATGTCATAAAATTACACACAGCACCAATGCACAAATGTGGTTTCTTACACTTTATTGCTGGAACCACAACTAGGCCTAGCATGAAAAACCCGACTTTTGGGGGTCATAAAAGTGGAGCCCAGAAGTCGTTCTCGCACGCATAGGCCTAGCACAAGAACCCCAAAAGGCCCAGTTTTTAAAGGATAGTTGTGTGGATGTTTATATTCTACTTTTAAATGTTCTTTCAGATTAACAGCATTTCGTTTAAAGCGCGTTTTGTAGCTCAATGGGGATCATTCCAGGATGCAGTGTCCCTTTAATGTAATTGTAATGCGCCTATCAAATGTTTACTGCTCCAGGATGTCAGTGGCCAAGCCTCAACATATTGACAGTCACTGCCGCAGGATTTTGCAGGATTCAGGCAGTGGTCACCCATCCATAGACCATATTCAATAAATAATGGAGGAATTTGCAGGATTGAGGCTATATGCTATTTTCCATGAATGAGGCCAATTGGAGGATTTTGCAGGATTGAGGCTACATCCTAGCAAAAAGGCCAAGGGAGCTAGGGTTAAATGACGTCACTTCCTACAGATTGCCATGTGCATCGGCATTTTGGGCATCAAATGTTCATGGCGCGCATTTGTTTGCGCCGTATTTCAAAGAAATTTGGAGCAAACTACGTGCGTGTTTAGAACATTTTGCACACTGCACACACATGCACCTGATGGCGTTGAACACGCAGTTGTAATTTTCCTATGAAGATAGCTGTCTATGACAGTGAGAAGGGTCTATACTGCCAGTGGCAATTTTTGTGCATTGCTACCCTACATCATACTATGTATATGTACCATGGGGGAACCTTCGTCCTCCATGATCGATGTACATCTTTTTGTAGTACATGTACATCCAACAATTCGTGTTTTTCAACAGTTTGACTTGATCTGGCATACTATTTTGCAGCATAGCCTGCAACTCAAACATTCTCCCCTCCCCCCCCCCAAAAAAAAAAGGAAAAAAGAAAGAAATGACAATCAGTGGCTACACAGTCCAGGTGCTACATGTATACAAATGTATATTCCCTTTTATAAGAAAAGCCTCCAAGGGGAATAAAAAGAGTAAATTGAATGAAGACTGTCAAAAAAAGTCTGAATGCTACCTGTAAGTCGAAAGTGTTTCCCACGCGGAGTGGGTATGCTGCCTATGACGGGAACAAATCCAGATATGATTGATATGTGTTGATTTGGCTGCTCTTTATAAATGTATCTCGTAAGAAACATCCATGGTCAGTTTGTTATGCCCTAAGTATACTATTTCCCAACTCAATCTAGGAGCAAGTTTCTCTGGCACTTTGCAGCACATGTGACCAATATCACTTCAGTGCATTGCAGAGGTTTGTGGGAGATTTACATGTAGGTAAGGCAGTTTGAAGCCAACCAAACTGCACCATCCAAGTCTGGTGAAATAAGAACTAATCGGTGGCTTGAATCTCTTTGGGCAGATTCGCTTCATCCTGATCCAGAACCGTGCCGGCAAGACGCGGCTGGCCAAGTGGTACATGTCCTTTGACGACGATGAGAAACAGAAACTGATCGAGGAAGTGCATGCCCTGGTCACAGTCAGAGATGCCAAGCACACCAACTTTGTAGAAGTAAGTACATTGCACAACACAACTGTGAAAAGCATGAGAGTAAATTGTTACTACAGTTTGTCCCCAAAAAAGTGTCCATCTAACTAATTTTGAAATAACTACAAAACCATGTGGTCAATTTTGAAAATTGTTGGTTGTTCATATAGTCCTAAGCCTTGGCCTCAATCCCTATGAGTTTCATTTAATTTCAGTCATGGATCACTTCACAATCGTCAATTGATCACAACAACATTTTTGGACACTGTGACCAAGTTCCTTGCCTTATTCAATTTCAGTACTGTGTTAAGTAAGCTGTGTAAAATCCTTCACGTTGTGAAAAGGGCTGCAGTTGGGATTGGAATCATTAACCTCATGGCAAGACCTCAGTTTAATGCTCAAGGGCAAATGATTCCAATCCCAAACCACATCAGCCTTTTTTTCACAACATGCAGGTTTTATCACAGCTGACATAGCAGGGCACTGAAATTGATTAAGGCAAGGAACTTGACTTTGTGTTGACAATTGTGCAGTGATGTGTTACTGAAATTAAATGAACCTCTTAGGGGTTGAGGCCAAGGCTTAGGACTATCTGCACAACCAACAATTTTCAAAATTGACCACATGGTTTTGTTGTTATTTTTAAAATAGTCAGATGGACACTTTTTTGGGACACACTCTATAATAAACACAGTAGGGTCCACAAAATCCATATTGTACAGTTAGGATTCTGTGCATTTAGTGCTTGCTTAAAAGAGAAATTTCAGGGAGACCACTGGGAGTGACTTGGGAATGAATACCGACAACACCTCACGTTCGCGCTAAGATGCAATGGGTTTTTGCACATTCAGGATAAAATTAGTTTACAAAAAGTAACCGATGCACACGGTCTTTGGTTACACACCTATGTTCCGACACCATTTGGGGCAACATATGGGACCCAAAAAATTGGACTGGTATGTGTGTAGCTACATACACTCTACACACAAAAAAACTTGAATAAAGCGCCCTCATCGGACAAAAAATACAATCTTATGTGCGGGTTGTCGGAACAAAGGGGTGTCGGAACATAGAGCAGTCACCCGGTCTTTAACTGTATCACGAAGCGCCATCAACTGCTTATGCACAAAGCCTATATTGGTTCTTTAGAGTAATTTTGGCTGCTAAAGCAAACATGTACAGTAAACTCCAGCTAAACCGACATCGTATAAACCGTCATATCGCTTAAATCGGCCGTCTGACGAAAGTCCCAATTGTCTCTAATGCATTTCCATTGACATTTTCATTTCTAAGTCGGCCTTTGTAAGCCGCCATTTCGCCTATGTCGGCGTGTTACTTTCAGTCCCATTTCCTCAAAACCACACAAATTCCTCTGTATACATGTAAGTCGGCATCGTGCTCTGCGGTTTGTAAGAAGTGTCGAGTGAAAAGTCCCACACACTGCTAACTGACATCTGTTTATCAATGGCACAGCCCGTGATTGATGTATCGGCCAGCACGTGTACACTAATCGCACGTGTACACTGTTTCATGCACAGTCTGTACATTGTGTGCATCGTTCGCTTACACGAAGTACATGTCCATTCCGTACCATCAATACCAGTACCCCCTCACGACTGCAAGCATGCGCTCTGTTCATTTTGGGGGTACCAGTACCATGCACACATTTAATTCGTGACTGTACACGTACGTACGTGCACAATGTACACTACATGTACATGGCTGTACAGTATGCAAGCGATCTGTATATCGTACCACTGTTAACGCTAGCCGGCCACGCCGTCCTGGCTTCGTACGTACGCATATATGTACATGCATGACTTTCTGTGATCAATACCACAGCCTGCTTGTGATGATAAACATTGAGGATATATTTGCTGGAATCAACCATGGATGTAGAAATAAACCAGGGTAAATCAAAGCCTTTGACATTTAGCCATGAATCTTGTTTGCATGATCCAGATACAGATGCGCATATAGGCCATTAATTCAATCTATTTTTTTCACTCCGTGATTCAATTTGTGTATTTGTATAAGTCGGCAAAATGACAACTTGCAGCAGAAGCCGACATTCGCGTAAGTCGTCACAAATTCTCTGGTCCCGAGAGTGCCGTCTTAGCCGGAGTTTACTGTACATGGAATTCACTCTTTTCACGCTCCGCCATTGGGCATGCAGAGCCTCGATCTGGCAACTTCACACAATAAAAATAGTCGGTTCAGACCCCGACACGGGAATCACTGAACCGGCTATATTTATTGTGTAAAGTTGCCAGATCGAGGCTGTGCATGCACATGGCAGAAGTGTGAAAAGAGCGAATAGTACTAGTGGTGGGAGAAATCAAAGATTATGTAATCCAGTTATCCAATTTTTTTTTTCAAACCAAATACCATTCATCAAATTTCACCGGCGCTTCCCATCCAGCTCACAGTCATGCCAACAAAAAGTGACGAGTGAGGCGCCGCATGCAATGCCCTCCCAATGACTGATTACAGTTTGCAGGATTCAATGACCACTGGGCCTTTACAAAACACTTCAGAGCTGTAATGTTGAAAAATGGGTTGGAACCTTCTGATAGATCGAATGGGCAGGCTATTCATTTACAAGAAGACCACTAGCAAGTGAATGCAGTTACAAACGGAGAACATGGAGCAAATTAGGGAATGTTATAGTTCTTTTCTTTAGCCTGTGTCACACAAAAAAGAAAGCTTAACTTTTTTAAGGATGGTTTCAAATATCCAAGATTGAAAATGAATAGTTTAATTCCAACCGAGTTTTAAAAAAAAATCTGGATTTAAATCCCACCACTAAATTGAACATGAAAATTGGAAGCAAAAAAAATGTGAGAGGCCAAATTGTGAGAGGCCAAACGTTCACTGAGTTCACGTACAAAATGTAGCTACAAGTCTGCTCTTGTGTCCAAGTGAGTGGTCACACTGTTCTTCTACAGTCTATACCGACATCAGTTGATTTGTTCAGTTGTTAACCTATTTTGGTTTATATTTTTATTTCACAGTTTCGTAATTTCAAGATTGTTTATAGAAGATATGCGGGTCTCTACTTCTGCATATGCGTGGATGTTGGCGATAACAATTTATCATACTTGGAGGCAATACATAACTTTGTAGAGGTGAGTCCATATTACAAGTACCTAAATTTGTGAGGGAAAATGCCTGTGCTAGCATGTTGAGCATCAAGATATGATACAAATTCATATCCATTTGTACACTAATCCACTCTAAAAGACTTTCTAAGCAATTGCATGGATAATGTTATCAACTTTCTGTTTCTGTGTTGAGGGTGAACTTTCAAGTCTATTTTTATTACATTTCTTAAAATTTGCGTTAATAACATCTAGATACTCTGTTCAGTGAGAGTTTGTACATGTACTTTCTAAATCCACATAGCTTAACACTTCACATGATTTCTAAAAGAAGAAAATTTATCATGGAAATAGAAAATACATCATTATTAAACTGAATTCGTGGATGTCATGAAGTTTGCTCCACGTTTGTTTTCGTGTGAAGTACGCGACAACCATATTTGTAAAATCTTTTCTTAGACATGTCATTGCAGTTAACATCTCGTTAAAAAAAATGAGGATTCAAGTCATCAAGAACGCGTGTGTAGGGCAAAACCAAATTATAAAATTTGCATTTAAGTAAAATTTCTTCATAGAAAAAAATACCTGTAGTTTATTTCAACAATGCAATTCGCTGAACTACATGTAAAAAAAGATCTTTAAAAAGACCTTCACTCAAGGGACAACATCACTGTTTGACACAATCATGAAAGCTCAATTCTCCACAGACTTTCTCTCCATTTTGCGGGATCAAATCAGTTTAGAATTTTTTTTACCTTTTTTTTCTTCTAATGACCAGTTTGATGTTCATTCGAGTAAGGTGTTTGTGTCTGTGCTTTTATCTGCCATCTTCAGGTGCTTAACGAATATTTCCACAATGTCTGCGAGTTGGACCTGGTCTTCAACTTTTACAAAGTGTATTCCGTGGTGGATGAGATGTTCCTTGCCGGGGAGATCCGAGAAACAAGCCAAACAAAAGTCCTCAAGCAATTAACCAACTTGTCGCAGCTGGACTGAAAGGGCTTTATACATTTGGAACTTAGCAGATTTAACTCTTTTTATTGGAGGGGGGGGGGTAGTACAAAGTGAAGAACATAAAGTTAGTGCCACTACAGCGTGCTCAGAGAATCTTGTGTTACAATGTAAGTGTTCTTGGATATGCAGTGCAGTGATTGTTACAATGTACATGTACATGCTGAAAGAATGATCAGTAGTCAGTTCATTGATACTTGCATGTTCATGTATTTCTGTGCATCACTTTAATATTAGCCCTCCTGCAGTCACACAGTCAAAAAATCAATCCTCTTCCCTTGCCATGCCTTTTACTCAGGCTAGTCATCAACAGCCAGATCATATTTCAAGCAAGCACTGTGACTGCGTCATATTCAGTCAACAGACCAAAGCTGGGAAGACGTAGGCACAGCTGGCTTATCAATCGCCTACAGTCAAAGCATAGCTTGCAACAAGTTACAAAACAGTCACAGCCAGTCAATTCTGCTTTATATAGGCTGGGAGCTCTTAACTTGTGAAAACAGTCACTTGATTGGACAACTTTGCACAAAATGTATGTTTGCATGGGAGGGTTAATATTAAGTGTGGGTTCCAGTTACCAATTGTGCACAAGAGTAAGCGTTTTCGGTTCAAATTTTCAAGAATAAAGTACTAGGTGCAAGCATTTTTACAGTGGACTTGGATCAAAGTTGGAAGTTGGATATCAAAGGTGACGTGTGTACAAAATAATATTCACTGCAGTCACATATATACATGTATACGCTTAGAAATAAAGGCAATATTGGGTTGTGCCCAAGGCTAGACTGTAAAAGGTGAAGGTGATTTAGTAATCATGATGAAAAGTTCTGTCTGCTTGGCAACAGGTATTTTGGCAGTGCTTGCTATTGTATAATAAGGGAAATCCATTGGTGTGTACAATGGACTGGGATATTATTTTATTAACCAGCAAATGTTCTTGTTCACCCAAGCCCAATGCACTGTGTAAATCTTGCATCACACTGCCCCAGATGGAGTCCCTTTTTACAACCAAGTTTGACAGTCAAATAGAATAGCCAAGTTATCCATGTCACTTTTATTCAACAAATCCATGTAGTGTTGATGGATTTTGATCGATTCATTCCTGTACAGCGCAGCCACTTTGTTTCTTTTCTTTGGGCTTGATGCTCTGATACTTGTTCAATGAGCAATAGGACCATTGCATCGCATTGGATTTGGTCTAACTTGAGCTGTCTTAAGCTAAATATGGAAAGTTATATGGAAAGAATGTTGCAACCCGACGCCACTTTTTTTCTCCATATATCATCTCAATAAAGGTCAGTCATTGTTGAAAAGACATGAATCTGGGACCAAGAATACAATTCCAATTTTGTTGGGAAATACCGCTGCAAAGTGGCGTCTGGATACTACGTTCTTTCCCTAAATATACTCGGGGAGTTAGTAGTGTTCATTGTTTTATAGAAAGAAAAAAAAAATTTGGGGGGGGGGCGCCTAAAAATCAAGTTATTGTTACTGTATAATGATGTATTGTAATTGCTTACACTACAAACCCATGTGTATATGTAGAGCTACTTGTATATTAATACATTTTTTCCTATTTGTTTTAATAATCAAACCTATGTGATGGTTAAATATGGAACATGTACTCCCTAAAGTTTTAGAGGCATGTACCTGAACATAACCAGTACCATTAACATTTTGGCAGGCATTTTCAACTGTTTTTGAAGTTTTGGTGATTTGAATATTCCTATTCATATCATTTTTATTTTTCATTCCAATAGGAAAGCTATTGAGATACACAAAGTAAGTTAAGTGTTGTGCATTTTTTGTGTGTGGTTTTTTTTTTGGGTTACTGTACATGCTGCCATTTTCTTTCTCCAAACTTAGAAAATCTTTCACATATTTGCCGTATTGCAACTTTGTGCGGCCTTGCATTCTGGGAGACAGATGGGGACTGCAGATCATGTTTCTCTAATTGTACAGTGTTGGATGTGATTTTTGGTACATGTACATTCATGTATTAATTGCCAGTACATGTGCATACATCATGCACCTTTGTACTTGTCTAAAAACAACAAACATGTACATACACCAGGACAAGTTTATTTTCAATTCTTAATTGAACCACGGATCCTCTACACAAGGATAAATGACTCATCTGAGCTTGTGTACAAAATGTACGGAGCAGATTTTCTACAAGCGTGATATGCAGCGTCCGCGCATAGAACATGTACAAAATGTAGAACAATGCACGCGCCGACAGCTAACTGGCGCCCTACAAATTCGACTGTGAGCGTCTCGAGCATGTGCGTCTCGCACATGCGCGACGCTCAAGGGCCGTATCACGCATGTAACCAGACATTTGGGGAAGTCGTTTATCCTTGTGTAGAGGATCCGTGATTGAACTGGGATATACAAAAGACTATACAAGAATACTGAACATGGTAGACACCAATTTCGATGTTATGCCAGTAGGAGTAGAACCCAGTTTATTGTAATAGTTATTATATATATTCAAAGTTATACACAAGCTTTGAGAAATTGAAATAAACCATAACCCTTACAAAGTGATGTCCATGTCTGTTGTTCAGCACCCAAACAAATTTACTTTGTAAACTGTAAATTCCATTTACAAATGTAAATAGTATTTTACATTTTGAACAAAATAATTGGAGACTAGCGTTTATCTGTATCACTTCAAATTCAGATGATTTACATGTGATATCAGCTGAGGGGCAGACAGCGACAAAATCCATTAAACTTCAGATCAAAGTTTCATAGCATTATTAAAGTACACACACGCAGCTTCCTAATTAAATAATCCGGACAGGAAATGGGTTGAACATTCACTTTCACTGTGTCATGTAAGACATAAGACATGGAAGCTAGGTCTCGCAACCTGAAATCAAAATTTGAAGTGTTGCTTTCATAGAAGTTACACTCAATAACGAGGGTCACCCTTCAGATGTTTTCATGGTAACTCTCTGAAAAAAATTGATAATCACACAGCCAAACCTTTAGAGAACACATTAAATCACAAAAGAAAAAAATTGAATTAACACAAATGATATATATATTTGCAGAGAAAAACAATTCACAATGTCCACACTGAATTTGTTACATTAAAATTGAACATCCACAGAATAACAGGCAATAATGGTTATATGAAGTGTTTTAATGTTGTATGTCAGGTAATGTACATGTATCTATCGCTCGAACGATCCGGTGTCTCTGTGCCATTCTCATCCAAAGTAACATGAATGTGCATATTGTACAAACGTGTGTGTACACTGCATGCAATTACATGTACATATGTGTACATGCCAAAAGCTTGCTACTCTGAATGTGAATCTTCCCAGCTGAAAATCTACCTTCTCATATCTTCTGATGCACCTCCCTTTGTATGGTGTATCCACAAACCTCCTTCAGACTTCATTTATAGTACACGTAGCTTGTATTACTCACACAATGGTACAATGTACATATCAATTTTAGTACAATTGTGTAAATAAGTAAATCCAATCCAAAATTTATCCAAAAATAGCTTTTTATATTAAGTTAGTATCTAATCCTTTACAAAATCTACACACCTAAATGCAGCATATAATTACAATGTATCTGCATTTAAAAGTTTTGCATTTCTTCCGTTAAGGCACCTAGCGCCCGAAACCGCCTGAGCACTGCATGGGTTAAACTTTAATTGATTAGTCAGTGATTAGTGAATAAGCACAATGTAATACAAATGGTTAAATATATTATGTGTTGAATTTTGTATGCAATACCCTGTCGCAAATAAAAATGATACTTAGACGGAGATCAGTTTCACAGCTTCTAAAACATCGGCACCCGATTTCATAACTCATCGCAACTTACAATGTATCGCAGTGCTGCGACGTGTCGTATCCCTATGCGACATGTCCTGCGATCCATGTCACAAAAAAAAGTTGTAGGTGCGACGCGTAGTAGGTATATTTATAGCACAACTCAGCGACTGTTTTATGTCTTTAGTCAGCGTACAGTAAATAGTCATCTGATATTCAACAAAGAGTGGTCGGATGACTCAGATCTATCAAAATTGTTCAAAACGTAAAACAAAATGGCGGACGTGTGATGCAATGGTTAAGGAAAACAAGTTCCCAGTGGACCGTATCTAGCTACCGGGTACTCTGAAATTTCAACTGCAATATTCCAGGCTAATTCATAATTATTGAATGCATTTTCTATTTACAACTTAACACATATTGTCTCGTCATTATAGTTTCGTTTACGTATTTTTATGGTATAAAACTGGCCAAGAAAAGGACTCTTCTTATTTTGTAATGACCAATAGACACATCGTAACTTGCGACGCGTTAACACATCGCAAGTTTCGTGAAATGGATTATAAAACGAGTTGCGACGTGTTACACCTCATAAGTCGGGTTGCGACCCGTCGCAGCGCTCCGTGAAATCGGGTGCTGAACATGCAGCCAAACAAAGTGAACACTGAACATTCAGGATGCTATACTAATAAAGTGCAAAAAGGGGGGGTGGGCTTGGATGCTTTAACATTGCATGCTTTGTGTGGAACTGAACAAGAGGTCCACAGGGTGCAGTAAGCGTGAATGTTTGGTGGACTGACCCACGTCTACACAATGTTTCCCCTCTCTGAAGAACAGCTTTAGAGGCAGTTTTGAGTGTTATCTGTCACACAATGAAGAGGAATACTCAAGGAAATCATGATAAAAATAAGTTGGGTTGAAAGAGTATTCACAGCACGAGCAAAATAATTTTTTTCCCCCGGTTTTTCTTAACTACACAAAGACAAAGGAATGTCCACACTAGGTATGTAAGGTAGGCCATACGTGTGTGAGTTTGTCTTACAGTCACATGTGGACATTTGAACAAAAGATGTCCACATAATGCAGGTTGTGTCGACTATTAAGTGGACAATTATGTGGACTATTAAGCCGTGTCCACATAATGTTTCGCCCTCTCTGGAAAACAGGTTTAGAGGCATTTGGGGGTTAGGGTGATCATCGCAGAATGAAGAGAAACATTCAAGGAAATCAAAAAACAAATTTGGGGTTGAAAGAGTTTTCACAGTTTAAGTAAAGGTATTTTTTGTACCAAGTTTTCTTCACTACACAAAAACAAAGGAATGTCTACATAAAACAAAAATGGGTGTGCGTTCACAAATTAATCTTATACACACGTACATGTATAAAATACAGATGAAAAAAGTCACCTACATTGTAACTTGGTATTAAGCAAAACCATGTGTGCTTAGCAGCTTCTATGAAGGAGTATATAGGTACATTCATGTATGTATGTTGTTATAATAGCCTCATAGCTCTACCACATCCATGTCATCTCGGACATGATTTGGTATGAGGGACCTCTCTTGTCTTGCACTTGCCTGCTGTCTGAACAAAGGGTTCTTAGGGGAGCAGGGGTACCTCTTGTGTGCTCTGGTCTCTCTGAATGTTGGTGTTAAGTCCTGGTTGTTTGGGATCTTTAAGCATTTCAGAGGTGAGCGGTGCTTGATCTTGAGTGCCTTCTTTCCCGGTGATCGGATGATGGTTGAGGAGGCCAGCTTCAAGGGGGTAAGTGCCTCATTGTGGAGGGCATGAACGGGTGCAAGGTGCTCTGGAATCTGGTCGATGTCCTGACTGCCATCATGATGAACAGGCATCTCCTCTGCATTCTCATACTGGATCACCGTCTCGCTGCTGGCTGGCTTCAGCACATCTTCATCACGTTTCGAATTCTGCAGGCCTCTGGGGATGTCAACCGCTGCTACATGGGACAGAGCCATCTCGTAGGAATCGTTGTGGTCAGGGGATACTATCTTGCGGAAAGCTTTTATTTCTGGAACGCTCGAACCTCCACCAACATTGCACATCCCACTGTCAATGCTGATTGATTTCACAAGCTTGGTCTTCGGCTGGACTCGTGAAGACTCATGCTTACTTGTTTCACCTGGGGTTGGTACAGCAAGTCCTCTCTTTGACGATAACTTCTCAGCTTCCTGGCTGCCTTTGTGCACTGATCTGGACTGCAGGTTTCTCACTGGCGAAATCTGCTGGCACATTGAGTTGAACATGTCAATGTTGGATTTGACATTGCTCAAGTTCAGCGAGGTGTTGCCCATTGGTTTAGCTGACTGCCCAAACCGGTCCCTCTTGGCGATGTGCACCTGAGAGTGATATGACTTCATTGGAGAGGGCAGTGTCGGGCCAGCTCTCCTGGCCGGGGAGTTGACCTGAGAGTCTGACAGACTCTTGTTGAAGATGTGGCCTGTCCTGGCCAGCTTCCAGAAGGCTTTAGTCTCCCTGAACTGGGGGTTGTCTTCGCTGGAGACGCTGCAGGAAGACTCCTCACTGGCGTCCTCCACAGGGGACAACCTCTCCGACAGCATCTTGACCAGACCTTGCGGGATATCCTGGGCCGACTTGATGCCCCGCTCTGATGCTATGCGCTTCTCTACGGCCTCCTGAAGTTTGGCCTCATCAAAGTTGGCAAGATTGTCCAGGGAAAGCCCCTTGCCGCTGTCAACAGACACTGACTTGACCAGTCTTCCAGACTGCCCAGTGGTTTTCAAGCTGTCTAGACTTCCTGTATGTTCATCATTCCCATCAACATTAACTGCACTGTCCAGGCTCAGCATACTACCTGCCTGAGCCAAATATTCATTTGATTCTTTTAACCCATCGATCTCATCATTATCATTACATCTGCTGTGTTGTCCAACAATTTTTGATGTGCCACAATCAACATCCTCAAGCACACTATCGGTAACACGTACTTGTGCATCACCCTCATCAAGCTGAAAGTTGTACTCCAATTCTACTGGACCACGTGTATCTTTTAGTGTCTCATCATTTTGTACAGTTACATCATTAGCATCCTCTGACAGTGCCTGAGCACTAGCCGTCTCATAATCGATCTCCACACTGAACACGGATTTGGTACTATCCATGCTGACTTGAGACAGGACGCTGGACAGGCTCTTCTGACTGACAGACTGCTGCAGCTGTCTGTGTCCTGTGGCTTCAGTGTGACTCTCAAACTTAGATGAATCAGAGGATGTTAAGTCCATTATCATGTCTGATCTAAGGGATCCCGTGTCTTTTTTGTGAAGTTGTGCAGACTCAAACCCACAGCTTCCATTTTCTGTGATCTGGCTCACATCTTCATTCATGTCTCTAGAATCCACGTCGCTCTTGGCAAGCCCCTCCCTGCTGCCATCCTCATCTTTGCCAATCGGCCGATTCCATTCGTCTTGCAAACACACATCAGAGACATCGTCGTGAGACGTCTTGGAACACTGACTGGATTTCAGATCAACTACTACAACCTTTGGGGATTCTGAATCATTTGCGCTTGACATTTGGCCTGTGAACTGTGACCTCTGCTCCAGAACTGGGTGAGATATTGCTGGCCGCGGACTGAAGAGAGTCGCCGGGGAGCTTGGCGTCTTCCGTCGTCTTTGTCTTCTCCTTGTGAGTGGCGTCCTCTTCAAGTGGGGTGAGTTGCCGAGAGCCAGGCTGTCTAGTGCAGCTGGATCCTCCTGTGCAGGAGGATTGGCCAAGCGCCAGCCGACTGATTTATCTGGCATGTCGTTGAGCTGAATTGGAGTTGGCTGAATAAAAAAAATTAATAAAACAAAACAAGAATATGAGCCATGGTTGTCGCCAAATCAAAAGTCAATCCAAAGTCAGATCACCACTAAACTTTACAAGTGCCAAGGATGAAAATCAATTCATAACTTTAAAAAACAACAACACTTCTTTCAGTTGAAAGGCCAGTTTGTATATATCTTAGATTATAACCCTCTAAGTTTAGGCCACATGTAATGATTTGAAAGAGGCTGAGCTTCAGTAGTAAATCAAAAAAAATCATGCAGAACCAGGAGTTCCAAATAGGCAGATCTGACAAGGCATTGTTGCAGGAATTCACGCTGCTTTCATGTAATTCAAACAACTCTGCTCTCCTTACCTGTGTGCGAGTATGTCTGTGGCCGAGCTTCTTCTTTATAGATTGGTAGACACTGCCCGATTTGGGAGTGTAACTTGAGTAAACTGATTTTGGAGTACTGACATCTGCATGTAATGCACCAGAGCGTCTGTAGAAATGAGAGAAAAATAAGCACAGTGCAACATACATGAACATTTTTTTTTAAAATAAAGAACAATGACCCTGGCACAAGTGCCTGTGTATAGTAAAACAAAATTACCAATTACTGTAAGGGAAGGGTGCAAAATTAAACAAGTGGTACATGTAGCTCGAGGTTAAAGGTACAGTCCGTCATTTGCAGCTATCCAAAAAGTAACTGACAAAATTATTGTTGAAAAGCATACTTGGTTAGATAGTAATGGCACTAAACACCCTGTGAAATCATTCTTTTGGCATGCTGTCATTTTGAAGAAATCATTGAAAGAAGGTCATTCCCAAAGATGCGTCTAGATGTAATAGGGCCCCTTAATTGAGTCCTATGGCTACTGGTCCTCGACGAGTATAATTTTCTGGCCCCTTAATTGGGCCCTGTGTTTTCTTACCCCTTAATTGGGCTAATATTGCCTCACCCCCGCAACTTTTTATTTTTTCCTTTTAAGTTTTATCTTAGTTTAGGCTCACACCTGCAAGAGTATTGTTTATATGTCAGAAAGACCCCCTTCTTGAAAGTGGAGTGACCCCTGGACATGAGGGTGCAGTGGTTTGGGTGGTGTGGTCCAGCATGCTTTAGTGCTGTACCATCTACTATCAATTCCAACCGCCCTGTTTCTTGTCTCTCTCTTTCAGCTCGCCAACAATCCAAGGATTTTTGAATCCCCTACCCCCATTACATAAAGACGCATTTTTGGAAATTTCCATTAGTATTTCGTCTTTAATTTGGCGAAGCCGTGAACTGGTGTGCGCGAAAGTTGTTACGACACACCACGCTTGCTATGATTCGTCAGTTCAACGCGCGACATCAATTAGCTGCAATCAGCTGAATAAGAACGTGTCCCGGACGCTGATTTCGGGCGCAATTCAAAACATGACTCAGCAACTTTTGAAATGAAGAATAGAATATTGTTTTTCTCGGAATATACAGCATTCACTGAGCTGAAACTTCATCAGGTCAGTTGTTAAGCATCCTTAAATGCACAAAATGACAAATGATGTACTGTACTCAACTTATAAGGTATCCCATAGAACCCTGTAAAGCATCGTAGAACTGAGGAGAACCTCAAGTTACAGCCTGATGTTTACATTTGCATTCTACCCTAATATAAGAGTTTTCTTGACGAATCGTCTTTGATGGATACCATAATTGAGCACAAATGTACCACATTTGTTCCAGAAAGATACATCATAAGGAAGACCCTACCTCTTGTACTTTCTGCTGCTGAGAGGGTTGAGTTTACCCAGCTTCTTCCCAGGTGTAGCGCCCACAATGCCTTCCTTCCCCGGCGGAGTGGCACAGAAAGTTGTGAAAGATTCGTCTGCAAATTTGATGGATGGGGTCTGGAACTTGAAGACCGTTGCTCCGTCTTCTGTTACTGCATCTGTCATTGGGGGGAAAAGTACAAGGAGTTTATTGGGTGAATTTAGTCCTCGGTGCATTGATAATCCTTAGATGAATGCATTTAAAAGTAACATGTACATGTACAGTCATGGTAACTTTACTTGGAGCACCACAAACAACCTCCTTCCTTAGAATATGTTGCATTCCGGTTCAGGCATTTCATGTACATGTAGAGAATAGGGGTGCCCACAGCAACTTGACCACAAAAGAGCCTTGGCTCGTACCCACCACCCCAAACAGGGTGCTGGGAAGGGCTAATCTCTTTCACAAAATTTTGTGAAGGAAGCACTGACGTTGCAAAGTACTGTGGCTAGCTTAATTAATACTTAATCAATGGACGCAAGTTCAATTGTTCAAACAAATTCTATCCAATGAGGGTTCCAAGAAATTACGTAATGCATCCTGAAGAAATTATATGTAGCCCTTCCCAGCGTTTTGTTTGGGCGGTCAGTACGAGCGAAAAAAGATCTATGGATGGGAGGGTGTGCCGTGTTACGGATCCTCTCCCATATGTTTTCCCAGTATCAACATGACAAATCATTTTTTTCAAATTATGAGCTTTGTTTTGTATGAAATAGAAAGGAATCAAAGGTTGCTTCACACAAATAAATAATTGACAAAAAATAATACTCCCTCACACATATCCCGTCTTCCCCCAACAAAAAATGAATCATAACAAAAGTTCAGATGCTGAGGGTATAGCCTCCTTAGTCTCTTACAGTTTCCTGACGAAGGGCAGAGCATACTGTCCGAAACGTTCAGTTTCCCCCGGTTCTTTTCAGAATCTCACAAACTCACAAAAGAGATTTGTTTATACATGGTGCAACAGCAAACACAATCTTATTGCTATCTTCACCATGCAAACCTTCAAACCTTATCTTTTACACTTCAAAAGCCTCAAAAACTTGAAATTATAACAAATCATAATGCCATGAATGCTACTACAGTGAAATCTCGATAAGTCAAACTCTGATAACTCAAAACAACTGTTCCTCTGATAACTCAAAACAACTGTTAAGTCGAACAAAGAATCCATTGCCTTCAGTAGTATAACAATGATATTCAACCCTGCTTAACTGAAAACTCTGCTTAAGTCAAATTTTGACCCTGTTCCCTTGAAGTTGAGGTTTGACTATCAAGATTTCACTGTATGTGGACCTACCAAAACTCTAAAATGCTCAAGGGTCTAAATAGGTAACAGGGAATTTTGATTGGACATACCCGGGTACATGTACATGTACATGTACATGTAGGAGGATTAAAATGAATCGCTGATGAACTCATTACTTTGACCTACCGACTTCTCCTAAGGCGGGTCTACTGGGTCTGAGTGGTGTGATGGGGGAATCAGTCAATGTCATCCCCTGTCGTCCTTCCCTGTGCAGGCTCAGGCCAGGCTTGCTGTACTGTGGGTCTGTAGTCATCTGGTGTAGCATTGCTTTCCTGTGAATTGAAATAAATAGGATTAAAACATGATACGGTGCCAATCAGATGTTAACAAGGGCTGCTAAACAATACACATGTACAACCTATTAAACAGTTCATGCCGGGATTATTTTGACAAGAACGGAACAAGGCAGCGAGGCCCAGGATCTATTTTCACTCGACCTCAAGCAAGGCGTGTTGAAGCCATCACCCTCGGGCAGCACACTCATATTTCCGGCCTCGCTCCCTGCATGTTTATCTGTCATCCGTTCCGAATACCGCAAAACTGTTGCGTGTATACACGGCCTCCGGTGGGAACTGGTTAATCCCCACTTCCCCCTTTACCAATGTTTTATCTACATTATGTAACAGAGAGGATCTTGTCAAATTAAACACAAAGGTTTGAACCTACATGTACTGCAGTGTACCTCCGGGATACTGTACCAGTGCTCTACCACATGAGCTCCTAATCTAGCCCGATGTTGGCAGTTCCCCGATTTGTCAACAGGTCTTTGTTCAAGGGGAGCTAGTAAGAAGTCTTAAGAGAGCGTCTCAAAAGTCGGAACGGGAACGTTCCGTTGGACCGTTCCATTGGACAGTTCCAGCGTTGGAATGGTCTGTGTGCCCGTCGGAACGGCGAGCGTTCCGTTGGACCGTTCCACCATTCCAGTGGAACGGTCCTTTGGACCATTCCGCTGGGCACATGTGCCCGTCGGAACGTTCCGCTGGGAACGCGAACGGTCCAGATGGGATATCCGTAATTGGGTATCATGTGCCCATCTTAATAGATTTTCTTTCGTTTGAGATGACGATGAGGTAAGTTGTTGAAATAGATAAGTTAGGCCTAATGTTATAAATTTGCAGTGAAAAAAAGTTAACAGTAATCTAGGGTTCGATTCAATAAAACATGAGACCCAAACAGGAAAAAAGTTTGCTTCTGTGACACATCTTCAGTAACAGTAAGATTCGCGCGCGACTGCAACTGGAGCCTTTTTCAGTCATTTTCCTGGGAAGGACATGTACGCGCGCGTGAACAGTACATGTACACGCATTCACACTGCACGTCCCAGCTGTATACGTAGCATGTTGTACATGTACATAGGTATACCATGTAAACAAACACGTACACACCCACACACCCACACAAAGATGCACGATCTCAACCAATGTTGATGAGTACCAGCTCGCTTGGTTGGAAACCGTCATATCTGCACTTCGGCGAGTATTATTTCCTCTAGCAGAACGTTCCGGCGGACCATTCCGATGGAGAGTTCCGCCGGGCACATATGCCAGGAAAAGTATGGAACGGTCCGACGGAACGGTCCAACGGAACGGTCCAACGGAACGGCAGCTGTGCCCAGCGGAACGCCCGGCGTTCCGTTGGACCGTTCCAATGGAACGGCCAGTGTGCCCAGCGGAACGTCCCGACCGTTCCGACTTTTGAGATGCTCCCTAAAGGAAAGGTAGAGTAGATCATTTGCAGCTATCCGAAAAGTAACTGATGAAATTACTGTTAAAAAGCTTTCTTGGTTAAAGTAATGACACTAAACTCCCTGTGAAATTATTCCTTCTGGCATGCTGTCATTTTGAAGACTAAAAGAGATCATTTTGAAAGATGAGTCAAGTGATGCATTTTTGGAAATTTCTGTTAGTTGTTGGTTTGTAATTGGGGGAATCCGTGAATATTGGCAGTGTTGTAGTCGAGTACCTTTTTCCGAGTACCAAGTACTGCTGAGTACTTTGGTTGCCGAGTACGAGTACGAGTTCTTGTTCCTCCGAGTACAAGAACGGGTCTCCGAGAACGAGTACTTGTACTTCCGAGTACGAGTACTTGTACTTCCGAGTACGAGTACTCGCATTTCCGAATACGGCCATACGGCAAATGGTTCATTGTGCGTAACTGGCCAAGGCCTAGTCAGGCAATTATACAGACCCACTCACGGCTAGCTGTTAAATGTGTTTGCCCGGACGTACACAGAGGAAAATCAGGAATTTTCGATTTCTCCACAAGCCAATCAACCATTTCAAACTGAAAGTCGATAAAATAAGGCCATGGTAATTAAAGCTGTATACCATTTTTCCCTGAGTACTGCTATTCGAGTATGAGTACTAACCGCCCCCAATGCTACAAAATACCATTGAGTAGTAACCTGTAGTATTAATTTCTTTCCATACAAGTGTGCACAGCACATTTAGTATTCTGTGGTATTTGGTACTTGACCCCCAACCAGCCCTTTGGGGGTTAGGGTTAATGATCGAGTACAATTTCGACATGTTGAGTACGAGTACTTTGCTGCCCGAGTACCGTCATTTCGAGTACGAGTACTTTGACATTCGAGTACGAGTATGAGTACTCCAAAAAAAGTACTCAAGTACCGAGTACGAGTACTACAACACTGAATATTGGGTGCGCGCAAGCGTTGATACGACGCACACGCGGGCGCGGTTGCTATTACTCGTCGGTTCAGTACGTGACATCGCGTAGCTGCAATCGGCTGAATGAGAACATGTTCCGGATACTGATTTTGGGCGCAATTCAAAATTATATAACTCGGCAACTTTTGAATTGAAACTGAGATGCTAGAATATTGTTTTTTCGAAAATACAGCATTCACAGCTAGCTACAACTTCATCAGGTTAGTTGTTAAGCATAAGCACCAATCTTTAGATTTTGAGCACTTTTGTTGCTTCAAACGAAACAAATGCACAAATGATCTACTCTACCTTTAAACCTGTATATATGCCATGTAGCCAGGTACATGTATCTAGCCCAAAAGTCATTTTGCTAGCAACATTAGCAATGCTGCAGAGAGAACTTTTGTTTGATCAATGAATTAATATCCTGTTGGAAAGTATCAACTATGAACTTGTGGGCAATGCTACATGAAACGAACCCCAACCCTCCCTGATCCTTCACAATCCACCAGCAGGATTTGTTGGTTTGGAAGATTTTGGAGTATTTATGGAGGGAGAACCCAGTGATATTACTTTTACGAATGCCCCTTGAAAGTCACAGAGAATAATTTGCAATTGCAGAATTTAAGAAGATCCAAAAAGTTTCCTGATGAAAATACCAAGGGAGCTGCAGTTAATGTACAGTAGCTATAGGTTCCTATTTTTTTATGAGTTTAAAAAACACTGATATGTTCATTGATGATATGTAACATCTGGGGCCAATTTCATAGAGCTGCTTATGCACAAAATTTGCTTAAGCACAAAAAAGTCTTGCTTAATAAAATCAGGTTACCAGCCAAAACTCCATGGGATTGTTATGCTAAGTAACCGACAGCTAAATGCCAGTCACAAGCAGTGTACATCGCATGGAGTTTTGGCGGGTAACCTGATTTTACTAAGCAATGTTTTTTTTGTGCTGAAGCAAATTTTATGCTTAAGCAGCTCTAGGAAATTGTCCGCTGGTCTCTTACCGTTTTGCTGATGAAAATGTTCCTAAATCCTCACTAGCTTTCCTCTTGCTGGATCTGAGTATTCTGGGTGTCTCACCTGGATGAGCATGAACATAATGCACACAAGAAAAAGCTCTTACGTATGTGAACTAAAAAGATTTCTTGGTAGTAAACAGGCCTCGCAAAATTTTTAAAAGTGAAGTTGCCCTTGGGGCAGGGGTGCTTGAAATCTGGTTGTCCGAATTTTATTTTCAGTTGTCCAATAAAGAACTTTTAATATTGCCCCAAACTGAAGGCCAAATCCTAAGAATGTACATGCATGGCTGCTTTACCTGAAGTGGCTCAGGGCTGACGTCCCGGGACAACCAGAATATTTTGTACTCGGCTGCTGTGCTATCACCATTTTGCAAGCGTGCGTGGGCGGCAGTGGCTGACCGTGGCTGCGTGCGTGTGTACGGTACCCGCACTCTGCGCCACACTTGTACATGGTGTACAGTGGTCCAGTCATAATATTATTGGAAACACACGTACACAAAGGATTGCATTCGCTGCCTATTCACATTACGTATGCAAAACGTTGCTGCATGATGTACATGTAGCCGGACCGTACGTACAGATTGAGATTGACCGCTGTTCTGTTTTGGCTGGTACCCATTATTCATCAAATGGTGATAACGCAGCAGCTGAGTCAAAATGCCGATATTATCCTAATAATTGTTCAACGCTGTGCCAATATATGGGATTCTGGCACTTTCGAAAATCCCAGCATAGACTAAAATAAAGTGTACAAATGTGTGAGTATAGTTGGTGAAAAAAAGTGGCTGCCCGTCGGGCTAGCAACCTTGAACTTTTGTTTGTCCGACAAAATATTTTGGTTGTCCCTGGACGTCGGGCAGCCGATTTCGCGAGACCTGCAGTAACTAGTAAGGTTTTGTTTTTCAGAGGTTAAAAGTTGTTCACCTTGACTTGGAGTCTGAAAAATCAAATTGTCTCTACAACACACGATGGGAGTTACGGTATTATGAGCACTTTTTAATCGGAAGTGATACAAGTTTAACACATTTGATAGTACTTACCAAGGAATGATGGATTCTCGATGACCTCATCTGCAGCTGGGGTCATGTTGACTGCACTACCAGCACCTGACTTCAGAATACCAAGGCTGTGACCGATGCCACTCATTATACCTGTACACAGTGAGGTAGTACCGTATGTGTGTAAGTTTGTGATCTACATGCAATACATGCATGATTAGTTAATGGGGGGTGTAAGGGTTCTTGGGCACTAGCTATGGGATAATGCGTCAACAAAGGCGGCAGTCACCCACTAATAAGTGTGCTCTAAATAGTGGGACCTTACAACATACTTTTAATAAGGGAACTAATGTGTGCTTGGCCAGTTTTAAACACTATGTTTAAGACTGGTTGGAGTCTGGATGCTGATAAGTACCCTCGCCGAATCCATTCATAAATACCTTTTCGGTCAAAAATATGTTTTCGGTCAAAAAAATCTAAACTTTTCTGTCTAAAAGTCAAAACAAGTAAAAAACTTTAAATTTCCAACAATTTTGTTCAACAATTTCACTTCATGTTTTTCGAAACACCCCTCTAGCTAAAATTACGGTATATCCCTCGTACGTAGATTATATGTAGATTGGCGCAGAACGCAGGTGTGCCGTTGTATTGTGAATTTAGGACTATGAAATACCGACTCACTGGTAGTATTGCGCATGCCTAGGTGAGGATTGTAACCGTTCAACCAATAAAAAAGTAAAAAGCACCGGATTTTATAGAGTCAAAATTTCATGCGACACTGGGAAAGTGTTTAAAACCAGCCAGCCATGTCTTTATCAACCGTTTAAAACTGGCCACGTGATGGGCTCTAGACCAATGGGACTAGGTAAACTTTCTTAATTTATGAATGGCAAATTAAACTAATAACTTTTACTCAGCTAATTTGGTACTGCACCTACGCTTGCAAAATTATGCAATAAAATGCACAAATTAAATGACTTTAGCATCCAAGCAACCAACATAAGTACCAATTTCAGGGATAACATGTGTTGAACTGGAATAAGACATACCTGCATACCGTATGGTATGTCTTATTAAATGAAAGCAAAAAAGGCACATGTGGCTGTGTTTGACACCCTTAGTTCTACGTCAATGTCTGTAAAACTTAACCTGCAATATGTTGGACGTCCAGATTTACAAGGGAATTTGATATCAGCTTTTACTCACAACATTCCCTGTAAGTATTCAACATCTCAAACCCAGTTAGTGACCCTTAAGTCCTATGTATTCTCTCTCCCTGTTATCATCCCACCTTGTATCGGTCCACTTCGCCGCCGTCTCCTGTTCTTTTTCCTCTCCTCCAGGGCTCCTTCCCCGCTTTTGTCCAGCTCATCCTCTGATGTCAGCCTGTCTGTCAGCAGATCGCAGCTGGATCGGTTCCCAAAGCTCTCCACTCTCTCTGCCACAGCGTCTGGCACCATTCCAATGTCATCGGCGTTCTCAATCAGGTGCCTGATGACGGCAGTCTGTAATCGCAGGAGCTTCTCGGTGGCAGAGGTTCCCCCGCTCTTATCCGCCTTGAGGCCACCCATGAGGTTGGGCGTCATGACCAGGGCCAGGTTGGAGGCGTCCATCCTGTTGCTGGAGACACTGCCGGCCACCTGCTTCAGGAACTGCATGGCGTAGCGCAGCGTGTGGTAGTACGTGGCTGGCAGGGTCAGACACAGAAGCTGGGTGGTGTAATGGACCTCCTGGGCAGTCAGGAGCTGCTGGCACTTGAGAAGTGCCTCGGCTAGCTTGCCGCTAAGGAGGGGCTCAGGCAGCTCACGGAAGAAGAGCTTGAACAGGCCTGCCACGTCATGAACGTGGGCATCGGTGGGAATGGGACCCTCATTCTCTATAATGTGCTGGAATATAAAACAAAGGACATGAGATTGATGCACTTGGAGTAGACAAACTCTAAGAAATCAATTTTTTCAAGTGTTTGTGGGGTGTGTACTTGAAAACATTTCATTAGTAACACATAGTGTGTTTCACCTGTAAATCTTTTTGCCTTGCCCTGGAGCCTGGCTTTCGGAATAATCCCTCACAATCAATGTTGTCCTGAAGGAATTGTACACAGTCCACCAGGAATCTGAAAAGGAAAATGTACTCTGTAATAATGACAACTCCATGACTTTTTTATATGGTTTATTATATATGCAAAATGTTAGACCGTCATAAGGCTAGTAATTACAATAATAGAAGCCAGTAAGGCCGAGTAAAGAAGTGAAATAGTTCTTGCCCAGTATTTTGAAAAAATGAGGGAGGCAGAGGTTTTATTTGTTGTGTTTTTTTTGTTATTGTTCCCAAAAAAGCACATTTTCCAAGATGAACTCTTTTGCTGAAATGTGTGTTCAAAGGAGCCGTAACCTAGCTTTCCTACATAAAAAGACAACATAATTGACAATATTTGCAAAATATATTGCAAAGGTATGAATTATATAAAAAAAAAATTAAGAGAGAAACTGGTTTATTATTTTTATTTGGCCTAACAATATACTAGTATGCGACCAAAGAGTAAGGAGAGGCCATTTTGCCAGTGCATATAATGGGAAAGCGTTTACAACTCCACAGTCAACAGACTGAAACAGTAATATTGCTTTTATTGCAGCACTCAGAGGTTTCATTTGCTCTACAGGCAATTTAAGTTGGATTTTTGTGTGACATGAATGAGGGGTTTTACCCTCCCATTTTCCTCCCAAACCCTTCAAAATCAACAGTTTAAAGGATTTACAAATGTATGCGTACATACACATGTACCTGTAGAAAGGTAGAGCTTAATCACTTTTAACCCTAACCCTCCACGGTATTTTGGCTAGAAACCCTGCCAAACGCAGCAAAACATGCAACACTTGTCTAAGTGAGAAGCCTGACCAGTGCAGCAAGATCCATGAGGCCAAAAGTCTCAAGGCCACACTGCCTCTGAGTCTGTGGCCACCGAATGCAGCAGGATACAACTGTGGCATACATGTACATACAATAAATTCCGGCTAAACCGACATCGTACAACTCGTCAAATCGCTCAAGTCGGCCGTCTGACTAAAGTCCCGATTGTCCGTAATGCATTTCCATTGAATTGTTTTATTTCTAAGCTTATATAAGTCGCCATTTCGCTCAAGTCGTCGTGTTACTCTCGGTCCCCTTTCCATAAAAAGCATTACAAAATCCTTTGTGAAAGTCGGCGTTCAACAATGCACGCATTGGCATCAACTTCCTGTACTGCAGTTGGCAAAGTGTCGAGTGAAAAGTGGTTTCCAGGTTTTGCACGCCCGTGATCGCTGCATGCATCGGTGTCGAAAAAGGGTGTCCTACTGCATACCACCACGCGGCGCTATAGATCCACATCGCATATGCATTTGTGAGCATATCAATACCAGTACCCCCTCTAGGCTGTTTGCATGCACTGTCAATTTTGGGGGTCAACTTATTGAATAACGACTGCTGCAGTCAACGCCTACGTGCAGGTATATACCGGACCAACGCACGTATTTAATTCGTTACTGTGCACCTACATATGTATCGTGGTCTCCACTATCAATACCTCAAACGCGATGATACAATTCGAGGATTAATTTGCTGGATTCAACTCAAGCATTAAGCATGTTAAGGAGATAATCCAGGGTAAATCGAAGCCAATTAGTGCAATGAATCATGTGCGCAAAAGACCATTCATGTACATGTAAGTCGGCAAAATGATGACTTATAGCATATATCGGCATTCGCGTAAGTCGTCACAAATTCTCGGGTCCCGAGAGTGCCGGTTTAGCCGGAGTTTACTGTAGTTCATTTGGATTAGCTCTCATTGTCTAAGAAGTGGCAGTTTCTGCACTGGTGTTGATAGCTGAATGCATCAATGTGCACCAGACTTTTCAAACCTGATGCACTGTGATGTAAGCATTGAGTTCTTGCTCAGTGGTCAGTATTAGAAACATCTCTAGTAAAAAAATTAGTTTGACTTACTTTGGTACTGCGCTACCAGGATAGGCATTCAAAGGGACAGCTGGGATTTCATCAAGAGGACAACCAAACACAGTGGATCTTCCCGCTGACCTTTCCTGTAAACCAGACAGTAATAAAATGGAAACTTCAATATATGAAACATGGTACTTTGAAGAAACAAAATCATTCAAAGAATAGTAATGTCAGGAAGTTTCTTGATTATTCAGGTAGAGTTCAGTGTCCTGACACCACTTTTTAACCTCCATGCGGATTTGTCATTTTAAATTTGTTTTAAAAAAGTGAATTTGGGAGAAGAAAATTTCCATTTTTTGGTTTAAAAAGTAAAGTAGATTTTGTATACAACCACCAGTGGTGGGATTTAAATTCCGATTTTTCAAAATCAGGTTTGAATTGACCTATCACCGTTTGCGAGTTAGCCACGCCCCTTTTCGTCTTAAGATGCACCGTTGGAAATTTCTGTTAGGCCTAGTAGTTCGTTTTTTTATTCGGCGAAGCACGTGCAAGCTTTGGCACGATGCACACGCGTGCACGGTTGCTATAATTCGTCGGATCGGTGCGCGATATCGCGAAGCTGCAATTAGCACAGTGAGAACGTGTCTCGGACGCTGAATTCAGGCCCAATTCAAAACATGATTCAGCAACTTTTGATTTGAAATCGAGATCCTAGAATGTTGTTTTTCTCGAAATATACAGCTGAAGCTGGGCTGAAACTTCATCAGGCTAGTTGTTCAGCACCCTTCTTTAGATTTTGAGCACTTTTGTTGCTTCAAACAAAATGCACAATTTACAAATGATGGACTATATCTTTATCGGTCCAATTGGTTTGACATATTTGAGTTTAGACCTGTAAACGTGACTTCAACATGTTCAATAACAACGCCATCTTCCTGAGTTCAATAACAACGCCACGTTCCCGAGTTGCTTAAAAACACTCAAAATTATATCCGCACACGATCATACGGGCACCCGGATGGCTCGTACGGCTCATATTTTTTTCCCCTCAAATTTCTTGGCAATGCCAGATTCTACACTCGCGTACATTTACAGAACGCTTTATAATTATTTATAGGCATGATACTGCCACGTAAACATTTTTTGCGCGACTCTTGTTACACGACATTGTTATTGACGCCACGTACACTGTACATGACATACGTTTACGGGACTACTTTGAGCAGTGTTGAGTCAAGTTGATTGTCCAGTTGTCCATGTGGTCGGACATCCTCTGAATAATACAGTGGCAATGCAAATGGTGAAATTGAACATGTTGAAGAAATTTGTACGAAGTTCAAACACCTTTAGTTTTAAGTTTGAATTTTTAATGTTGCAATGACATGAACATGATGAATGAATTTTTAGTCTTCTTCTACTTCTAGTTTTAAACTAAACTTGGTTCCGAATAATGGAAAAAATGATGCAACCTGACACCACTTCAGCGGTTGTGTACAAAGTCTACGGAGTCAAAAAAAATTCTAAGTAGGCCTAGTCCGAGTAACTTGGACCCAACTTATCGCCTTTTTTAACATTTGGACATGGTCTGGCGATAGTAGGGTCCAAGCTAATACTGCGAGCTGGACAACACCGTCCCAAAAACCAACATTTTCCAACAAAAAACATCAGATTTCACCTTCAAAGCGGCCTCCAAATTACTAGATATGCCACCTGAGGTACAAGTAGACATCGATGATTAAGATGGTTGTATTGAAGTTTACTTACGATCCGGAAAAAAGTGAAATTTTCCGTTCATTTCGGAGAGTTCCCCTCGCGATCTTGAACACGTTAAATTTCCGATCGTGTTTAATGTTTGAACGACACGATTTCTTCTTCATGCCCAGCGAACATTCGATGGTCCCCGTATCCCGAGTGCGATTCCGTTACCGAGCGCGCGCGATGCATCGATTATGATAATGAGTAGACTGGATCACGTTTGTAAACACATGTGCATTTCTAACGATAATAGGGAGTCGGGAACTAGCGCAGCTTTTATGGCGGATACCAGTTCAAGCTGGTTCCCGATTCTCTTTTACAGTTCAAAATGCACATGTATGTGTTTACAAACGTGACTCATTATCATAATCGATGCATCGCGCGCGCTCGGTAACGGAATCGCACTCGGGATACGGGGACCATCGAATGTACGCTGGGCATGAAGAAGAAATCGCGTCGTTCAAACATTAAACACGATCAGAAATTTAACGCGAGGGGAGCTCTCCGAAATGAACGGAAAATTTCACTTTTTTCCGGATAGTAAGTAAACTTCAGTACAACCATCTTAATCATCGATGTCTACTTGTACCTCAGGTGCATATCTAGTAATTTGGAGGCTGTTTTGAAGGTGAAATCTGATGTTTTTTGTTGGAAAATGTTGGTTTTTGGGACGGTGTTGTCCAGCTCGCGGTATTAGCTTGGACCTTACTATCGCCAGACCATGTCCAAATGTTAAAAAAGGCGATAAGTTGGGTCCAAGTTACTCGGACTAAAGTAGGCCTAGGCCTATTTTCTAATATTACAAATACAAAATTGGAAACGTTTATCAGTCACATACATGACAGATTCACGTCTTATCATCATTTTTGCATGATTCATGATTGATATTTTTTTGATAGTAGATATTTTGCCGGAGGTAATGACGGCAAACTAACGATTACTAAAGGTTTGCCGGTGGCAATCCATATCAACAGAGGGCGCTGTACTCTTTAAAATAGGGCTGAATTATAAGATGTATTAAATTCCCACCAAAAGTTGTGTAGCACGTTCGGTGTAATGGTTAAGCAAAGGCTCTAGCAAGCGGGATGACTCGCGTTCGATTCCGACCGCACCACATTTTAAAGTTTTTTTTTCTCATCCCCAAATAAATAAGAATATTCTTCTTTTATTATTTTAACATGTCTCAAACATTTTTTGCAGAGTATTACATTTTCTTTTTCAGATTTGTGGCTCTGGAGGATTTTTTTTAAAAGGGAAATAAAGTCGGCAGTGTATATTTTGCCGGAGACGGCAAACCTTTAGTAAACGTTAGTTTGCCGGATATGCACTGAACATGCGCAGTTACTGTTTTTTTGTACTTAAACATTTTCCGGTGAAAAGTTTTAGTCTGGCTCCATGCCAAAATTATCGTTGTTACCTTGTATTCACAAGATGAGATTCAGACCATTTTATAATTTCGGACTTTATTTCCCTTTTAAAAAAAATCCTCCAGAGCCACAAATCTGAAAAAGAAAATGTAATAGGCCTGTTGTGCCCATTCTTGAAAATCACGCATTCTCGAGAATGGGCATGCACATTCTCGAGAATGGGCGCGCATTCTTAAGAATGAGCGCCCATTCTTAAGAACGAGCACGCGTTCTTAAGAATGAGCGCTCATTCTTAAGATTGGGTGGGAATATCACGTGCAAAATTTATGAATTTTGCCCAATCTTAACAAACATTGCACGACATAATTATGTTAAATGAATTGTGTAGCGGTTAAAAGGGAAACAATTCATATAAAGAGGAAAGAAAATGTGCTATGCTTCTGTACTCGTATAACTACGATAATTTGAATCAAATTAAACCTGTTATTATTGCTTTTTTCTGTCCACTATGGGAAGTTTTGTAATAACGGAGGACTGGGAACTAGTCTGGGAAGTGCTTTGTTTAGACTAGACAAGTTACAAGTCCCTGCATGTATCATATGCGTGCCACGAAAAAAAAACGAGGTCCAGAAGCTGCCAAAATTACTCTTTTGACTAGATAGAATCCAGCTCTGCGACGTTATGGTGGGATGCGAACAATAAATTGGTGGCAATTTAAATGGGAAATAGCATTAGCACTATGGGATGTCGCAGTATTCATTCTCATTCTTCACATTCTTCATTCTTACGTCCCCCCCCCCCCCCCCCCCCCCCCCCCGCTTTTATTATCCCAAAAATCTGAATTCTTTGCACTAGTATTATTATGTCTCTTATATTTTCCCGGTCCCCCCCCCCCCCCATATCAATACGCCTTTACTTATCATATCCACTCTACTTTTCAGCGCCTTGCGTTGCAACAGTATAATTATTGAGAATCAGTGAACGAGGATTCAGCTAGACTTGCCAAGCGCAGCCGGTGCTCGGCATCGACAAGATCGTTATCTTGTCGCGCATTCTCAAGAATGTGCGCTCAATCTGGAAGAGTTATTTTTTGCCAAGATTGAGCAAGGATCCAGTTGCACATTCTCAAGAATGTGCATGCCCATTCTCGAGAATGCGTGATTTTCAAGAATGGGCACAACAGGCCTACTCTGCAAAAAATGTTTGAGACATGTTAAAATAATAAAAGAAGAATATTCTTATTTATTTGGGGATGAGAAAAAAAAACTTTAAAATGTGGCGCGGTCGGAATTGAATGCGAGTCATCCCGCTTACTAGAGCCTTTGCTTAACCATTACACCAAACGTGCTACTGCTACACAACTTTTGGTGGGAATTTAATACATCTTATAATTCAGCCCTATTTTAAAGAGTACAGCGCCCTCTGTTGATATGGATTGCCGCCGGCAAACCTTTAGTAATCGTTAGTTTGCCGTCATTACCTCCGGCAAAATATCCACTATCATAAAAAGTATCAATAAAGTCCGAAATTATAAAATGGTCTGAATCCCATGTGAATACGAGGTAACAACGATAATTTTGGTATGGAGCCAGATCCCGACTAAGCGTTGTCACCGGAAAATGTTAAGTACAAAAAAACAGTAACTGCGCATGTTCAGTGCATATCCGGCAAACTAACGTTTAGGGCCTACTTCCTACTAGTACTAAAGGTTTGACGTCTCCAGCAAAATATACACTGCCTATCATGCCTATTTTTTTTGATAGGCCAAAACCGCCTAGGCTAGGGCCTATATGAAGAAAAAAGTAGCGTCAGGTTGTAACATTTTTTCCCGATACAGAATATTTCTTAAAAAGAAGACGAAATTACACCTAGGCTAGGGTACGGCCTTTATATTTTTGAGGCCCGTTTTTATGAATGTCGAAAATACACGGCTATTTGACTGACCTTCCCTTGAGCCTGCGTGCATCGTACACTGCTTCTTTTTTCTTTCGGCACTTTGATTCCAAAACTTTTCAGCTCATGTCGTACGACATATTTCAAAGTGTCCCTGTCTTCCACAGCTAACAGGTCCTTCATCTTATCTTACACGTCTTCTTCACGTAAAATAGGATGTACTTTGATTTATAATGCACCCCAAGGCAAAACCCAGAGATGTGTGAACTATGTGGTGTCGACGTCGAGAATGTCGGACACTTCGCCCCATTTCCACGTCGCCCCATGTCACTTCGCCCCTAACCACTTCGCCCCATCCCCACTTCGCCCCATCCCCACATCGCCCCATCCCCACTTCGCCCATCCCCACTTCGCCCCATCCCCACTTCGCCCCATCCCCACTTCGCCCCAGCCGTTACATGTAAAAAAAAATATCTCATCTATTTTTTTGGCTTAAAAAAAAACTATTTCAATAGATTCACTAATTGCTAACCAATGGAAAGAATTAGCCCATCACCAAATGAACAATTCATAACCAACCTCTCAAGCTAGGCTCTCCCCTACCGAGAAAAAAGCTTGAAGTAAAAGATCCAACTTTGTTCCCAACCCGGCTATACCAACCCGTCTCCCACTTATCTGAGAACGACAATACCTTTGACATCCTAATTTCACTCTTGGAGGAACCAATCTCATCAATGAAGTTGTAAGTCTCACATATCAGACAAATTTTGACGGAACATTTTCCTCAAGGCAGTGAGTTCCTTTGAACTCACTGACCCATACCTACGGGATTCTTTTGAATCCAGCGGCTGATGATTTTATTTAAGCCATCATTTCTCTCATCTGTGTCTCGAGCACCTCATCAGAGAGTTTGTATTTTTCCTGAGTTTCTAGAATTGGGAGCATTTATTATCTGGGGTCTTTGGCAGTTTATTTGGTCTGCACCCCTAGCCTTCCCTTTTTTATACTACATGGGGCGAAGTGGGGATGGGGCGAAGTGGGGATGGGGCGAAGCGGGGATGGGGCGAAGTGGGGATGGGGCGAAGCGGAGATGGGGCGATGTGGGGATGGGGCGAAGTGGGGATGGGGCGAAGTGGTTAGGGGCGAAGTGACATGGGGCGACGTGGAAATGGGGCGAAGCGTCCGACACCCGACGTCGAAACTTTCAAACCCACCACATTTTGCAAGTGTTAAGAAATACGTGCAGCTGATTGGTTCGTGAAGTCGATGTCAACATTGGTCAATAGGGGGCGCTGTGTAGGCTTCACGTTAAGTTCCCGGTTTAGTGTGCGCAACGTCGTCTGCATGCTACTGGCCGTACCTTTACCTTGAGGTTTTTAATTTAAATTCGAGGTTTCTGTGTAAACGTTTTTAATGAATAAACAAGTTAAAAACAAGAGTGACGACACCGTTAACGAGTAATAATTATGCCTGCAATTTCCTCTTTTTGTTACCAAACAAATACAGTTAATAAACAAGAAAACCAGCTTGAGGGCGCTATACCAACCTACCTGTGGCGCGCTCTCCTTAAAAGCCAGCTGTTGCACGCAATGCACGAAATGATAACAGAACGAGAGCAACCGTCATCAAATCCTGTGATTTTTAACAAATGCAAGATTCCATTTGCTGTCTTGGAAATGGAGGGCAACCACATCAGGTAATCTAGCATAGTGTAGTCCTCTAAACGTGTCGCATGTCGACTCTTTTCCCCCGACTTTCCTCGACGTGCTGTGTTGCGCATCATGCATGCTAAAACCTCTTTGAATTTGAATCCCATTTTTAATGTCATGTTTGTAGTTTGTTGACATGTCAGACATTGGCTTCAGTTCAGTTTAATGAACATTGCTACTGTATTAAATTCCTATAAATGAAACCTTGTGTCTTCGTATATTCGACATATTTCAAAAGGGTTTAGTAACTTTACTGCGAACTTCAAATTTAATTCCAGCAAAATGACATTGACATGAATTTGCGGGTCTGCTAAAATTATTGTGAACACCTATTCACTTCTTTTCAAATTTGGGTTCGAAACTTTTGCCCAAGGCGCCACAGGAGAAAACTCATGGCTATGTAATTGACTGTTCGTGCCATATGGTTCATCATAGTACATGCATGTACAGGCCTCGATCGACATAAGAAAAAAAGGGGCAGACCACTTTGGCATTTAGTTTTAGTACCGGTATCAAACTTTTTTCATAGTGCTTAGGCCTACAAGCGATATAGTGGGGACATATCCATGTGCAGTGGGGGTCAATATGTAGAGTCAATTCCCAAACAGGATAATTAACTTATGATATTAATTTAATATCCACGGTTTATATATAATTTAATTTAAATAAAGAAGAGAAGATTACAAAAAGGGATTGACACTGATTGTGTTTCTTTGTTTTAATAACATGGTTGTTTTAATATCATGGTTCTCAGAACCAGCGACGATGTTTACATAATAACATGCAAAATCACTGTGTTGTTGAAGCCAAAAAATACGTCTGCTTTCAATTACACGATACATAGCTTTAAAAAATAAGGCTGATTAAACAGAGTATTCACACCATTTTTGGCCCGAATTATTTGCATTGACGCCAGAACCATCACGAAAGTAATACTGCGGCAGAAGCGACATGTGTCAGAGGCTGATGTTTGCTGGCACCGTGACGACACATAGACCTGGAAAGAGGCACAAGAGCAGCTTAAATGGGAGCGCTCAAGTTGGGACTGTTATGGAAGAATGCTGCAGAGGAAGGGACCGGACATGTGGGAGGTTGATGTTGACCGGGGTCTGGAGAACACACAGACCCGGCAGGTGGTACATGAGCTACTAGAACAGGAGCAGTCAAGGTTGGACCAGCGTGAAAGAATGCCGGGGCGAAGGCGACGTGTAGGAGGCATGCTAGCAGGAGGCATTGGAGTTGGATGAACTGGAGTGGTCAGTATGGGATCATCATGCATGAATACTGCGGCAGAGGACGACACTGAGGTGGTTGAGGTTTGCTTGAGCCTGAAAACACACAAACCTGGCAGGAAGCACTGGAGCCACTGGATCAGGAGCAGTCAAGCCTGGACAACCATGGACGAATGCTGCAGGCGGAGGGGATGTGTAGGAGGTTGAGGTTGGCCGGGGACTTGAGGACACACAGACCTGGCAGGAACCCCAAGAGCAGCTGGAATGGGAGCGGTCAAGCTGGGCTGGCATAGGAGAATGCTGCAGGAGGTTGAGGTTGGGCGGTGCAGTGAGAACACACGGACCTCTCAGGAGGCACTTGAGCTAATGGAACAGGAGCGGTCAAATTGGGACCACCATGAAAGAATGCTGCAGCGGAAGCGATGTGTAAGACTTAAAGGTTTGCCAGGGCCTTGAGAGCTTTATGCGCTCTCAATCACCATTGATTTGAAAGAAGTATATGAAAGGGGTAATATACAAAAAAAAATTGACGTGAAAATATTGTTGAATTGAGATGCGTTTTGGTATGGTCAAAAGGGCAATATGGACATTTTAAATTTTGCACTTTGAGCACTTAAAAAATATGATTTTTTTATATGCACTGTAAAGCAGCATCAATGTGGTGTTGATGGGTTTTATTCTGACCCAGGACTGGGTTTAACAAAGGGCCTCTAAAACAGGTTTATAATGCAGGAAAACGATTAACAGGTATACTCCCACTGCAACTCGTTAAAAATTGCCAAACTGAACCCGAACCGAACCAAAATGAACTGAAGGTTCACTTTCAGCACTAACTGGAGCTGCTACCAGGAGGCACTGGAGCTGCTGGAACAGGAGCGGTCAAGGTGCGACCACTGTGAATGAATGCTAAGGCGGAGGCAACGTGTAGGAGGTTTGAGGTTTGCCGGCACCTTGAGGACACACAGACCTGGCAGGAGCCTCAAGAGCAGCTGGAATGGGAGCAGATAAGCTGGGAGAACGCCATATGAGAATGCTGCGGACAAAGGGGACGTGTAGAAAGTTGAGGTTGGCCGGTGCCTTGAGCACACACAGACCTGGCTGGAGGCACTGGAGCTGCTGGAACAGGAGCAGTCAAACTGGAACCGGAGCAGTCAAACTGGAACCGCCATGAAAGGCGACATGTAGGCTGTTGAGATTTGCTGCAGCCTTGGGGACACATGGACATGGCAAGAGGCACCGGAGCATCTGGAAAAAGGCAACGGAGCTGCTGGAACAAGAGCAGTCAAGCTCGGACTACCATGGAAGAATGATGCGGCAGAGGGGACATGTACAATGTAGGAGGTTGAGGTTGGAGGGCCTTGAGGACACACGAACCTGACAGACGACACTGAAGCTGGTAGCACCGGGCACTGGAGCTGCTGGAATAGAGGTGCTCAAGGTAGAACCACCATGGAAGAATGCTGTAGGCAAAGGGGATGTGTATTAGGTTGAGGTTGGCCGGGACCTTGAGGATACACAGACCCGGCAGGAGACACCAGAGCTTCTGGCAGGAAGCAACAGAGCTGCTGGAACAGGAGCGGCCGAACTGGGACCACCATGGAAGAATGATGCGGCGGAGGGGACGTGTGCAATGTAGGCATTGAGGTTGGAGGGCCTTGAGGACATACGAACCTGACAGATGACACTGGAGCTGCTAGCACGGGGCACTGAAGCTGCTGGAATAGGAGTGCTCAAGCTGGGACCACCATGAGGAATGCTGTAGGCAACTTGGGAGGTGTAGTAGGTTGAGGTTGGCTGGGACCTTGAGGATACACAGACCTGGCAGGAGACACTGGAGCTTCTGGCAGGAGGCAACAGAGCTGCTGGAACAGGAGCGGTCAAGCTCGGACTACCATGAAAGAATGATGTGGCTGTCACATTTGATCTGTAATTTTCTTATTTTGCCAGTAAGTTTGTACAAGTTGTTCCTTTAAATGAATAAAGTTGCTTTAAGAACAGTCTGTGTGTATATTTATTTCCCAAATACATAGTTCAGGCCTAATGAATATTTAATAAGGCCTTGCTCTTGCATGCTTTTCTTTTTCTCAGTTAAGTGAATGAACCTTTTAAGGACAGATATGTGGTGTATGGTTGATTGTATGTGTGTTGCTTTAATGTGTCTATTGTTGTGTGCCATGGTTAGTGGAGCTTGAACATGTTTGTCAATGTTTCTTGGGGTGCGGCCTAGTCAGTTGAGACCAGAGCCTGATAGCGGAGGAGTCAATGCTGGACTCTTGAGCAGGATTTTGCTTTGCCAAACATATCCAGTGTGTCATTGCCTAAACAGTGCTGAATTATTAAACAGCCTCGTGTGACAAGGAGATTCTCTGATATAGGCCTATTCGAGTGAAGAAAGTCCTAAACTTTAAGTTTACAAAAAGTTTGGTTTTATAATTTTAAATTTTCTTGTTGATTTATCTTTTATATGATTGTATTAAATCTCTAATCTCTGTAAAGACATGGAGATAAACTAATTCTGGGTGATTCTTTTTTGGACTAAACATTTTATGTTTGAATTTAGTAAATTAGATTTTGTTATAATATGAGTTCTCTAAATGGCACTTAATTCCGGGGTTTGAAGTTGAGCTACTTTTGCACCATCTCTGTTGTGTGCCAAGATCCACCTGTACTTCCCCTACCGTACCTGTTAGAAGTGACGTATCGCCTGTATCTGTTGGACGGGAATCAGGGTGTGGCACTACAGTCATCACCAGGCTTAGCATCGCCAACTTCATTACCTACTCCCATAAACTGTGATGTCCCTGGAATGTTTATGACTGTTAATGTACATGTATAAAATGTCAGAAAAATAATGTAAAAATTAAGATTTCCTGATCTAGAGGTCCAGAGATAGAAAGAGTAAAACTTGCTTTTGAAAAGTTTAGTTTTGAGGAAAAACTTCAGAGGTTACTTTTAATAGAAGATTGAGGGTGAGGTTAATATTGATTGTGGTTATTTAATGTTGAGGTTTTCAGTCAGTGGAGGTTGTAAAAGATTAAGATTGAAAGTTGGAACTGAAGAGTTGAGAAGATTTCCCATAAATTGAAAATTTGATTGAACCTTTGGTTTGAAAATCCGAAGCGAAACCAGAAATTTAGTTTGATATGTTTTTGAAGTTAGAATAAGAGTGTGTTATTATATTGTGACGTTTCATCGGATATTTGAATTGGTACATTGCAAATTTGAGATTGTTAGAGTTGCAAGTGAATGTGGAAATTTCTGGAGTTATTGGAAGTTTTGCGAACCCCTAATTTTTGAGATTTAGAATTAATTGCAGGTTTGAGGAATG